ATTGATACAGGAGAAGAGAACTAGCAGAACTATGTGATGCTCCTATAGGTAAGGTCGAAGGATTGATACAGGAGAAGAGAACTAGCAGAACTATGTGATGCTCCTATAGGTAAGGTCGAAGGATTGATACAGGAGAAGAGAACTAGCAGAACTATGTGATGCTCCTATAGGTAAGGTCGAAGGATTGATACAGGAGAAGAGAACTAGCAGAACTATGTGATGCTCCTATAGGTAAGGTCGAAGGATTGATACAGGAGAAGAGAACTAGCAGAACTATGTGATGCTCCTATAGGTAAGGTCAAAGGATTGATACAGGAGAAGAGAACTAGCAGAACTATGTGATGCTCCTATAGGTAAGGACGAAGGATTGATACAGGAGAAGAGAACTAGCAGAACTATGTGATGCTCCTATAGGTAAGGTCGAAGGATTGATACAGGATAAGAGAACTAGCAGAACTATGTGATGCTCCCATATGTAAGGTCGAAGGATTGATACAGGAGGAGAGAACTAGCAGAACTATGTGATGCTCCTATAGGTAATGTCGAAGGATTGATACAGGATAAGCTCCTCGTCCTCGTCGGTTTCTCAAGAAAAAAATTCATCGGTTTCCGGGGATGCTAGGATGTCCTGAAACTAAAATTGCAATACTTTTGATCTGCCTTACATTTGCCGAAATATGAAAGATGTACGAACAAGAAGAAAATGGCGAACAAGAAATATAGAAATATGTCTAAATATTTGCATCTGCTATCATAACTAACTGTACTCCTGCTGGAAAAACTGTACTCCTGCTGGAAACCTTAATAAGAAACCGAAGAGTTGAAATCATTTAATTTTATGAAAGTTGACCAATAAGAATCAGTAAACTTCCTTGGTGAATACTTTGAAGTAGAGCTTAATTCCGTCCATATAGAAGTTCCCATGTCTGTTAAAACTTGAATTAATTATCTAGGAACTGAGAATGACGTGAAGCTCCGGAATAACTTTGAGCTGAAGAAAGTTAAGAGTGCTGGACGTGCACTGAAAACTGCAGGTTCTAAACTACCGGAGAAGAGAAGGATTGAGCTAGAGGAGGTTTTAAAGACATATTATTCAGTTCAGGAGGTAAACAGGATACCGTACACTGTACAGGGTACATGTAGTGTACAGAATATATCTAATATTTCTGGTTTCTTCTAACTGTGCTGTGTTTAGTGTACAGAATATATCTCCCTAATGTCAAAAAAGATTAAGCCTCCCTGAACTAATTCCAGCGTACGCGCCTAAAGTTTGATAGGCTTACTTTTAATAGTTTTCCATATGTATTAACGTCTCAGATATCCAATCTTCTGAATGATTAGCAAATCATACTGATACTTTTTTTGTGGACTTTATTTTTATTAAAAATTACTTTCAGGATTGGCGCATACGATCTGGAAACTGGGAAGCTCCAGAACTTTCTCCACGTCAGCTGACCTACGCAGCTAATGACGCTCTTGTAGCTATCAACATATTCTGGGTTCTACTTCGAACCCAGTTCTGCTCTGATCTAAGCTCAAGGTTTCACATCCTGAGCTGGAACGGTCCTAGATTAATCTCCGAGTGTATACAGGCAGTGGAGAGGTTTATAGACGTAAGGTTCAGCAGTAAAGGTTGGATGTCTGGAGCTCTGAGCTCTGAGAAGCAGAAATCCACCAAGTTTCTTAGTGTACTGAAGCTAAAGGGAAACTCAATTAGGAAGTCTCCTCTGTATCATAACTGTCAGCTGCAGGCACCAGACGGACAGGTAGTTATGTACAATATATGTACGGTGTACAATTGCCAGCGGTAATGATTTTCCAATTTGATGAGACATTTCGAGTTTTGTATTACTANTTTGTCTTACTGTACAGTGTACATGTAGTGTACAGAATATATCTACTAGTTCTAGTTTTGTCTTACTGTACAGTGTACATGTAGTGTACAGAATATATCTACTAGTTCTAGTTTTGTCTTACTGTACAGTGTACATGTAGTGTACAGAATATATCTACTAGTTCTAGTTTTGTCTTACTGTACAGTGTACATGTAGTGTACAGAATATATCTACTAGTTCTAGTTTTGTCTTACTGTACAGTGTACATGTAGTGTACAGAATATATCTACTAGTTCTAGTTTTGTCTTACTGTACAGTGTACATGTAGTGTACAGAATATATCTACTAGTTCTAGTTTTGTCTTACTGTACAGTGTACATGTAGTGTACAGAATATATCTACTAGTTCTAGTTTTGTCTTACTGTACAGTGTACATGTAGTGTACAGAATATATCTACTAGTTCTAGTTTTGTCTTACTGTACAGTGTACATGTAGTGTACAGAATATATCTACTAGTTCTAGTTTTGTCTTACTGTACAGTGTACATGTAGTGTACAGAATATATCTACTAGTTCTAGTTTTGTCTTACTGTACAGTTTACATGTAGTGTAAAGAATATATCTACTAGTTCTGGTTTCTTCTAACTTTGCTGTGTTTAGTGTTCAGAATATTTATACAAGTTCTAGTTTCTTCTAACTGTACAGTGTACATGTAGTGTACATAATATATCTACGAGTTGTAGTTTCTTCTAACAGTACAGTGTACATCTAGTGTACAGAATACATTTACTAGTTCTTTCTAATTGCATTGTATTAAGTGTACAGAGTTTTAGTTCCTACTAACCGTACTGTGTTTAGTGTAGAGAATATATCTACTAGTTGTAGGTCCTACTAACTGTACTGTGTTTAGTATGAAGAATATATCTGCTAGTTCTAGTATCTTCTAACTGTACTGTGTTTAGTGTACAAAATATATCTACGAGTTCTAGTTTCTTCTAACTGTACAGTTTACTGTAGTGTACAGAATACACTGAACATGTTGTGTACAGAATACATCTACTAGTTCTAGTTCCTTCTAACTGTAATGTGTTAAGTAAGTGTACAGAATATATCGATTAGTTCTAATTCCATTTAACCATACTTTGTTAAGTGTAAAGAATACATCTACTAGTTCCAGTTCCTACTAACCGTACTGTGTTTAGTGTACAGAATACATCTACTTGTTCTATTTCCTTTTAACCGTACCGAGTTTAGTGTACAGAATACATCTACTAGTTCCTTCCAATTATACTGTGTTAAGTTTACAGAATATGTCTACTATTTGTATTGTACTACTAACCGTACTGTGTTTAGTGTACAGAATATATCTACTAGTTGTATGTAGGTCCTGCTAACTGTACTGTGTTTAGTGTACAGAATATATCCACTAGTTGTAGGTCCTACTAACTGTACTGTGTTTATTGTACAGAATATATCTACTAGATGTATTGTACTACTAACTGTACTGTGTTTAGTGTATAGAATCTATCTACTAGATGTATTGTACTACTAACTGTACTGTGTTTAGTGTACAGAATATATCTACTAGATGTATTGTACTACTAACTGTACTGTGTTTAGTGTACAGAATATAGCTACTAGATGTATTGTACTACTAACTGTACTGTGTTTAGTGTACAACAGAAATTGTGGATAGAGCCAGTGATTGTAATTTCCTTGAAACAAACGATGATTATACTCCTCATAGTAGAGCAGTAGTGCATTATTTCCTAAGAGAAGGTAATTCAACTAAAATATATTTTTCATTATAATATTATTGTGAATTGCACCAATTTTGATAAAGTTTTCAAGTTCTGCTCACCTAATTTATCCCAATGTTTTAATATTTTTAATTCCAATTTTTTATTCTCCTTCTCTTTATTCAGGACTGTTCGGTTCGTATTTCAACTAAATGTTTTGTTTAAAATCTTGAAAAACTTCGTAATATTTAGGAGGACTAATAAATCTTGAAGTTAAATGGAGAAAACATTTCCTGTCTAGTATGAAACCTAAACATCTCCCAGACCTGTGGAGTATAAACCACCAGGAGGAAAGGTTGGGAGTCAAGGCTGCGGAGAACAGGATTGATATGGAGCAGTATATATTAGCTACACAGGTAAATTTTTAAAGGGATTGTTCACTTATTTAAAACATAAATAGTATAGTAAGCAAACAAGTCCCTTATCAGCCCGATAAACAATGTTTCCAAGGATTTGTGGTCTTTGCTGTAATAGTTTATTCTAGCAAAAGGGACATTTAAAAATTGTTAAACGGCTATTTTATAGTATTCTTTCTAGCATACAGTGTGTTAAATATAATGTAAATCCCAATTTTTTTGAAATTTTTAAAAATGTTTTCCAAGTGGTGGTGCACCTTTATTATGTTATGTTATTAGGAATTTTATAAAGTATTTTATTTTCTGAAATATTTAAAGACAAATTTTTAAAGTACTTTCAGGTTTTAGAAAAAGAAAGGCGTCAGAAACCAAAAATTAATGTGGTTGTACTTTTTGATTTGACCTCGCCTTATTTTTTGGATTTTTCCTCTTTGTAGGTTTACTAAATATTTTTTTCTTGAATTATTAATTTGCTTGTTTTTCCTCTGTTACATTAATAATGTAAAATCGAACTGATTACTCCTAACAAACTCTGATCTTCCAATTACTTATACTTTTGTAACCTGTTTAAGTCTTGTCAATTACTTTAGTAAAAACTTTAAGAATATATAATAAAAGCATCGAAAGGTGTCCAAAGCCCCCCTGAAAAAGTTGAATGTAGAAGGAATACTAAAATGGGAGGGTGAAAAAAAGAATTTAAGAAAGGAAATAAAAAATTAACAAAGATATTTCAGGGGTTTACTGTCGACCAGACCTTAGATCTGGAAGAATATAGAAAACTGAAGAAACCTCAGCTTGGAATTAACCCTGATAATCAACTCGAAGCCACGGATCCTAACGAAGTTCTAGAATCGAATTTTGGAACTCCGGAACGTGATTCCGGTTCTTCAGTCTCGGAAGAGAGTTTCTCAGAATTTGTGATTACATAGATTATTTTGAAGCTTGCTAAATTTAGACCAGAACTGTGATTATTTCAGAATGTAGAATGTAAAGATGTCTGTATTCCATGACGAAGTAGAGATAGAAGATTTTGAATACGATGAGGACGAAGAAACATATTATTATCCTTGTCCCTGTGGAGACAGGTTAGGATTAACATGATTGGATAATGGATATAGTACGTTGAAGGTTTTTTTTAAAATCGGTTTATGCGACAATGTCTACCTTCACTTGCGCTTAATGATTATCATTGATATTTGGTGAGAACTTGAAATTCAAATCGGACACTCTTGGATATGCCTGACTTGCGTATTTGTAGAATAAATGTATAGAACAGGGGTGTGAAATTTAGTAAAACTTTGAACCAGCTTGAAAACCGGAGTTCAAAACAATTTACAGAATTGAAAAATATTAAAAATTGTACTAAAAAATGTCTTTTTTGACCTTACTCTGTCAAATTTCAATATTTTTCGATTCTGTAAATTGATTTGAATTTAGAAATTCAATTCGGTTCTAATGATACCCAATTCAATAATTATTTCAAATAATTATTTTCATTTTCACTTGTGCTAGTGACTTTTTAAATATTAACCCCCATTTGAGGGGCACATTTTTGATTTTTGTGAAAAATATATTTTATAAACATATCTTAATATTCCTATTAGAATACTTTTTTTCTTCTGTAAAATTGTTTTAGAAAAATCTCACATCTTTAGTGTAGAATGTAGGTTTAGAAAGTTGATGGAACGGGATACAAAGAAATTGAGTTTTAGCCACAAACTCAATTTGTAAACAAAAAATCTTGCAACCAAATGGTGTAGACCTTATATTTCAGACTTTAATTATTTAATCCAACAGAGTTCATAGTTTGAAATAATTACGGTTGCAAAGTTTCACAAGTTTCCAAGTCTTCTTTGGATTGAATATATTTTGTTTTAAGAAACCAAAGGGAAAAAGACCCGATATTACATTGATTGAATGTGCACACAAACAATTCTATGAGATTTTAACGCTAAAATGGGAAAATGATTTCTACTGTCCTATTAAATTTAGAATCGAATCAGATTTGATCACATTGTCGCCATCTTAAATTTACCGATACAAGATACGTCTCTGAATTCAGGTTTGCGATATCTCGAGAGGAACTAGAGGCCGGGGAGGAGGTTGCTACATGTCCTAGCTGTTCTCTTATTATCAAGGTAAAGTATTTTCTCTAAATATCCTCTAAATCTTAAAGAGTTGAGCTAGCCTTAAAGAAACCAGGGCAGCCCTTTCTTTCCGTTATTTTAAATGATTAAGTTTTTTTCTGTCTTCAGGGGACTCACAAATATGCTATTTTCATATTATGCTTTATTTGGACTCTGGCAGAATATATGAAGTATTGACGGCAGAAATAAATCAAACCATTAACGAACAGCTGNTTCTAAACTTCTGATCAAGAACTAACCAGTTCTAAACTTCTGATCAAGAACCAGCCAGTTCTAAACTTCTGATCAAGAACTAACCAGTTCTAAACTTCTGATCAAGAACCAGCCAGTTCTAAACTTCTGATCAAGAACTAACCAGTTCTAAACTTCTGATCAAGAACCAGCCAGTTCTAAACTTCTGATCAAGAACTAACCAGTTCTAAACTTCTGATCAAGAACCAGCCAGTTCTAAACTTCTGATCAAGAACTAACCAGTTCTAAACTTCTGATCAAGAACTAGCCAGTTCTAAACTTCTGAGCAAGAACAAACCAACTAACTGATTAAGGAATAAACATGGCAAAGGCCGGGATGAAAAGAAAGAAGGAGGAGAAGACGAAAACCCAACTCAAGAGACCTAAAACCGCGCCAGGACAACATTTACCAAAAGGCACAAATGTGACAAAAACAGATTTTAAGGTTGGAAAAATCGTTATTCCTAAACAGCTTGAGAAAAGCGGTGAAGCAGGTCCTGTAACTAAACGGAAACTGGGTTTAAAGGAGCTACTCTCCAAGCTAACTCATTACTCCCAGACCGTGAGGTTTGAGAGCCTGGAGGGGATAAAGGAGTTGGTTACAGGGGAGCAAGGAGGAAACCTTGTTCAAGGAAACCTGTCTCTCCTCGTCTCTAAACTAGCTCCACTTACCTCGGATAGAGAGAGACGAGTTCGGAGAGCAGCCTTTGCCATTCTGCAGGCGATTCTGTCACAGGTAATTGTTTATTTTTGACAAGGCATCTGGGGGCTGTTCAGTACTTATTATGAATAATAAAATTGTGTTTTTCCTGATTGTTTAAATTTTCTTTTTGTTATAACTAGTGTTTTGTTGTAGGTTGCTGAAAGTAAACTTGAACCTCTGTTTCCGGTTCTTACTGCTCATCTATCCTGCTGTCTTACACACATAGATCCAGCTATACAGCAGGATGGTCTTAATCTTATAGATAGTCTTGTCACCACTGTACCCAGCTTTATTGCTGGAAACTTTTCAAAAATTCTCCCAGACTGTTTGGAGCAGATATCCAAGAGAAGTGTGAATAAATCTAAGGCTGGAGTGTCAACTAATGTATCGGAGAAGATAACAGCTCTACAATGGAGGACAGATGTACTGAAGAGGGTTGATCAAGTTCTGCGTGCAATCCTTTCTCAGCTGAAATCAAAGATCGGTAGTGAGAAGGCCCAAAACTGTGTTAAGGTTGAGTTTGGAGAAAGCGTTCAAGCGAGGATATATCCAATGCGTCCTAGCTCATTGTGCCTTTCAGAGCTTGTTAAGAAATCTGGTGAAGATCCTATGTTGGAGATCACAGACAAGATAATTCCTCTGATCCTGGATTCCTGGGTTGAGGCTACCGCGGAGACGAACAAGAAAAGAATTGGATTTCTATCCAACGACGTTTTTCCTCTGCTGGAGCATATCTCCGGGATATTGGAGAAACTGGTCACCTACTCCCGGGTTTTCGGGTATGACGGAGATGACACCGTTCTTGTTCGTATGAAGCAAAAATATTTTGCCGACCTTAACTCTCGTCTTCTAAGCCATTTACCGTATAGTAACAGTTCAGGGAAGTGTAATGCTCAAAATGTTCTTCTCTCCAGTGTAATCTTGAACCTAGCAGAATCCCTGGACGCAAACCTTCTCTCCAGGATAATACAAACTGTTGGATCTCCGACCACCGATGCTGGAGAACGGTTGAAAGTTTTCAAACATTTATTGTATGGATCACTTTTAGATAAAGAATCGCGAGGAACTGTTTTAACTCTGCTATTAGACATGTCGGCAAACCTTGCTTCTGGCTCGGAGCAAAGAATTGGTGCTTTGAAACTTCTCTCCGACCTGGCCGAGTGTGATGAAGAACTAGGATCCTGGTTGGAAAGTCTCCCGTCCCTCCTGATATCTGCTGTGGATCAGAGTTTCTCCGAGAGAAGTTTAGTTCTTGAAACCATGCTGAAGTTCGCTCAGCGCAGAAATACACATTTGGAACAGTCCTTTAAACTCAAATCATCAGCGCTTCAAGGTTAGTTTAGATTCACTAATTGGCTCCAGATTTAATTGAAATAATGTATATGTAATATTTTCAAATCTTACGATGATTTATTTTGCAGATTGGAGCGAGGGATTGGAGGAGAAAGAAAAACAAAACTCTAAGATGTTATTATCGTACATTCATCAGAATTATGCGTAAAATTCATGTTAAAAATAAATTTTTTTTTGTTTCAGAATGATTTTAAGTTGTTTTAGAAGATTTCGTCCCGTTGTGAACAAGCAACTTATCTTTTATGCTTGCTCGTCTGTTAATGTTTCTCAGAAAAGACAATGCGGTGATATATCTCAATCTAAACTTGAGATATTTAAAGAGATATTTGACGAGAGTGAAGACAAGGATGAATATCTGAATCTACGGAGTAGATATTTTCTCCAGGAGAACCTGGGACACCAGGTGATCATTCTTCAACCCTTTCTCAGGACTGGAAACTCTGAAACTACAAAAGAGCTAATGCTGGACGAGTCCAAGGCCCTCATTGAGACTCTCAACTGGAAAGTTGTCAATTCTATGTGTATTGGTTTAAGCTCCTTTAAGAAAGCTGAACTATTTGGTTCCGGTAAACTTGCAGAAATCCAGGAATTAATATCCAACGATCCTAGGATAACCGCGGTGTTTCTCAGCTTATATCAGCTCACCACCACTCAGAGGATCCTACTGGAGAACAGGTTCAGTATACCGGTTATAGACAGGTATAATCTAGTTCTGCAGATATTCCATCAGCATGCTAGGACACGGGAGGCTAAGCTCCAGGTTGCACTAGCTGAGATTCCGTATATCAGGAATAGGATTTGTGTCGACTATGAGCGGGAACAGAACTCAAAACACAGTAAGAGTAACATGGGAGAATCTTCGTTTGAAACTCGACGAAATTCTCTCAAGAAACTCGAACGGAACATAAGATCAAAAATCGATAAGTTGAAAGCACAAAGGAAAAAGTTAAGGGAAGGAAAGAATCGTGAAAAGTTTAAAACTTGTGCAGTAGTCGGATATACAAACTGTGGGAAAACATCCCTGATTAAAGCTCTGACTGGAGAAGATCTTGAACCTAAAAATCAGCTGTTTGCAACTCTTGATGTAACCTGTCACCTAGGTGTCCTACCCTCAAACCTCAAGTGTATATACATAGATACTGTTGGGTTCATCAGTGATATTCCTACCCCTCTTATAGCATCCTTCAGTGCTACACTAGAAGATGCGGTACAAGCTGATATGATTCTACATGTACGAGATTTATCCCATCCGGATACATTACATCAAAATTCCCAAGTTCTCGCAACATTTAACAAGCTTAATTTTCCGCTCTCTGCTAGAGAGAACATAATAACAGTCGGGAATAAGATCGATAAAGTCGGGACGGAGACTATCAAATCGTTGATAAATACTGACGTTATACCGGTCTCAGCAACATTAAACATTGGTCTTACTCATCTTTCTCGATCCATAGAGAGACTACTGATAAAACTCTCAGGGCGGAGAAGAATGGTTTACAGGGTTAGGACGGGAGGAGAGGAGCAGCTGTGGTTGCGGAGAAATGGAACTGTGATATCTAGCGCTGTAGCTGAGGATTTAAATTATTCTGATATGACCGTTTTATTAAGTCCGGAAGAGATTGGAAAGTTTCATGCAACATTTATAAATGTTTAATATTTCAGATAAAAATGTTTACGAACGGATGAGAAAATAGGATAGGATCAGAATTATTCTTAAATGTTTCTGTTTAACTAACTAGATCATTCACGAATAGTTACAAAACTTCAATTTGATTCGTCATAAAGAGATAAAAAAGAAGATAAATCGAAATCAAATTTCTTTGGTTTAGTTTCTCCACGTGATTTGAAACTAAAATTGCAATACTTTTGATCTGCCTTATATTTGGCATTGTTTTCAATGGAGGAATGAAGCTGATGAAGGGGTTACCTTTTTTCGTTATGTTATGTTATGTTATGTTATGTTATGGTAATTAATCGTTGAATCTTGAATCAGAATGGTTTTAGGGAGAGAGAGATGTCTAGCTTCCTAGCATACTAATCTAATCCTTCAATCAGTATTCGTTATGGGAGGGATGAAGCAGAGGAATACAGGACGATCTCTCAGAGATCTGAAGAGAGAGATTAGCGCCAGGTCGGAATCCAACCAGGAAAAGAAACCTCAGGTTTGAACCTTCAAGAAACATTTTTCCAGGGGTGTATATTTTCTTGAAAAATCACCCCCCACCTCCTTAACTTGGGTATTTTTTATGCGTTTATTCGCTGAAATGTGGGGAAATAACTGATTTTTATGGTTAAATAGATAAATTTCGGTTAAAAAATATCAGAAAAGATGTAGAAATTTGCCTTTTGTTTTTAATTTTTCGGTCATACTATAAAAACGCTACATTATAAAAACGCTACCCTATAAAAACAATACCCTACAAAAACGCTTCTTAGGCTATAATTTACCACAAATTTATGGACTTCATGGACTTCTTCTGTTTTTGTCTAAGATTTAAAGCTCATTTCAAAATTTATGGTATGTTTTAGAAATAAATTTGCTATTTGAATAATTCATAGGCATGTTCATTTTATATCTAAAAATTATCGTTGTACACTTTAAGATAACAAGTGCAGATCAAATTATTGCAAAAATTTCAAAAAAAGGGATCTGCAAATATCTCGTACAATTAAGTTTGAAAAAAAACATGCAGACAGCACCGTCTCTGAATTCATCAGTTTTACGCATTCTTTTTATAAGTTCATCTTTATTTATCCAGATTATTCTCTCTGTTTCCATTTTTTCTAGAAGGTTGAGGATCGACTAAACGGCAGAATTAACGCAATTATGTAAAGGTTTACAAGAGTCCGAATTTAATGAATTTGAGCCGTGTCTTAAATCCGTCAAAAACCGGTTTCAATTGAGCTCCGGCTTAAATCTTGAAACATTTAATGCAATTTTAAGTGGACCTAACTATATTTGAGCCGCAGTTCTTTAATTTTGGCCTCTGGATCTAGACGAACAAGCTGATTAGCTATGCTACAGTTTCCTTGTGGTACTAACACATGTAATTGTCCTCAAGGAAAAATGAATATTATCCATTTGCACAATTCGTTTTCTTTTAGTTAATTATTTCTTAAGTCAAATGTTAGATATTCCTTTAAAACCATAATATTCTAGTTTTTTAAAATTATTTCCAAATTTACACAATCAAATGCTTTTCCTTATTTAATCTGCTGTAAATTTCTGCTAAGAAATTGCATAACCGACTGTTTTGTTCTTTGATTTTTTACATTTGATGAACACCAATATGGATTCAGCATACATATTGGTTCATAAAAAATATGATATATATTTAAATAACGAAACATTTGTTAAGAGAATGTTTTTCAGGGAGGTTTGAAAAGAAAGATAGAAAAATTATAGGACGATAATTCGTAAAATAAAGTTTTCTCTCCTGATTTTAAATTGTTATTAAAAATATTTTCCATGTTTATTTAGAATTTATAAGAATAAAAAGTGTTAACTGTGAGGTGACCGCCAACAAATAACCCAAATTAAAACAAAATCTTCATGATGGGGGTGGGCGACTGAGCCCTTATTGAAACAATATCTGCTGCTTAAAATTCATAAAAATATGTAATGAGTTCCAATGTATTATATTTGATACATTTAATTTGAATACCGAATTACAATAGCTCTCATTTTTTTAAATACATCTAATAATTTTTGCTTTTTATTATAATCATAAACAATGATTTTTTAGGTATTGATGGATACGAGTTAAATGTTAAAGATACAATGAAAATTTAGATGGTTTTATTTAAAAAGTGAAAATTAATCATGATAATTTTTAGCAAATTGGTTTCCGTAATTGATGGAGAATAGGAGCCTTCGTTGGACAAGTCAAAGACTATGTCTGAAACATGTTTGGACTGAAAGATGGACCCGTAAATGTATCCGGAAGAAAAATCAATCCAAAAAAGTAGCAAATTTAGCGTTTTTGTGGTGAAGCGTTTTAGTATGGTAGCGTTTTAGTAGTGGAGCGTTTTTATATGGTAGCGTTTTTATAGATACGCCAAATTTTAATTTTTGCCTAAGTTCGTAAAAGATCATTACTTAACCTTTATCATTAATAATTCCGATCTTGAGCTTTTATTGTTCACTGTCCAGGTTGTGCAGGAAGAGGATGACAGCTGGTACCCGTCTTCCTATACATCCTGGAAGCTAGTGCTGTCTGCTCGTCTGTGTGCTGCTGTCTGGTCTGGAGTATCCGACTGTGATGAAACATACAACTACTGGGAACCAACCCATAATCTTCTCTATGGTCAGGGGATGCAGACCTGGGAGTATGATCCTAGGTAACAAAGTTTTGTATCATTTCTGGCTAAACTCATTTCAACCGAATCACTAGAATTTTGTTAACACTCATTTTCTAGTCCCTTCTGGATTTGAAACTGTAATCTCTCCAAATCTTATTAGGATGGCGTATCTTTTGATCTACGCAAATACGCTATACTAAACTTCTGACCTATTCGCACGTGGTTTTACAGCTTTTAGTTGGACATGTGGCCGCAGCGCTCGGGCCATAAGTCTTACTAGCCGCGGCGCCCGGCCACCTAGTTTGTCCTAGCCGCGGCACTCGGCTCTGAAGTGTTCTTTACCTAACCTAACCTTCAAATAATACAAATATTAGGTCGGAAAGATAAAAAGTCAGAAGTTTAAACAGAAAAATATTCATCCTTGCATATCATGGATCCATTTCATCTACAAATTGCATAGTATTTGCAAATTGCTGTGAGCCATGATATGCCGGGAGCTGCCGACCAAGTAGTGTAGATCGAAATGTTGTGTTTGTACTAATTCTGTCCATTTTAGGACTTAGTCCTAGAAACCATTTACTTTTTTGTAATAATTTTTGTTTTAATAATAAGAGATAGAAAAATTTCAGATTTCTTCTTGAAGTCCTGATAACAAATTGTCTTAGGTTGGAACTGGGATTATAATAATCACTTATCATCCTTGCTGACTAATTATATTCTGAAGGTATGCTCTTCGATCCTACATGTATCTGATGGTCCATGCAGTTCCTGGTTGGATCTACGCTAAACTTCTCCAACCCAACCCTATGCTTGTTTTCTACTTTCTACGCTGCTTGCTTGGAGGAATTTGTGCTTCATGTGAGGTAACCAAATCAACAATTCATAACTTTTTTGTTACGATTTTCTGTTATGATTTTTTCCTTCTGATTCTGATATGGCTTTAACGAAAAAATATGCCATCTTCGTGAATAAACCTTTAAGACGAAAATGTTTTGTAATATTTACTTCTGTTTTTTTTTTTTATTTAAAAATGAATAGGCTAGAGTCAGACAGTTCGGGAAAATTATTAAAATATGAACCAATTTTTTTATTCATTTAACTTAGATTTATGGATTAGTAGTTAGTACACTACACGACATATATTTTTGTAAGACATTCTTTAGTGTTCGATACGATGTTCAACCCAAAAAGATTATTTTTAAAGAATTCAATTATTTTGTTTCCAGGTTTACTTCTATCAGGGAGTTGTAAAGGAGTTTGGAATTAATGTTGGTAGAATAACATTAACCGTATTGACCCTGTCCACTGGTATGTTTATCTCCAGCACCGCCTACCTCCCCTCCTCCACCTCGATGTACCTGACCCTGCTTGCCTACGGAGCCTGGTTCCGCCAGGAGTACAGGGCAGCTATTTTCGCCACAGCCCTCTCCGCCATTCTCAGTAAGCTTTCTTCCATTTAAATGTTAGAAAAATAGAAAAGTAAAATTTTCCTTTTCTTCATTCAAACGCTCTCTCTCTCACCTCTTCTAAATAATCTTCCCTCTCAGCATTTTAAGCATGCTTGCGCGAAGCGATAACATTTTTCTATGGTTTTATTGCTGAGTTGGACAATAAATGAATTATTGGGTAAAAAGTTTTTAAAAGGGAAGATATGCCGGTTTAACCCCCCCCCCCTATTTTAGAAACAAATGCACCAAAATTAATGTTTTTTTTTATTGAGCTTAAAACTTACTGCACATTTTGCGTTGCGTATTTTCTCCAAATATTACATTTTTCGTGGGTCCACTTTGTTTTATGCTAAATCATGTTTTTTGATGGATCTCATCCTGGTTTTCTCAAATCATCGTCTTCTAATCAAAAGTTTTTTGGTCTAAAATACGATGATTCTATAAATCATTTTTTACTTTAAAAAAGTTGAGTTCAATCTAGTCTGAAGACCTTTCATCCATTTGCTAAAGAGAAGAAAGTTTAATTAAAAATAAATTTAGATTATTATTTTAATTTATTTTTTTATCTGAGTTTTTCCTCCCGGCGTAGGGACATTTTTTTCAAAAAAAGATCAGACATATTTGGAAAAGAAATATTATTTGAAAATAAATCAAGATTTATCCAAATAATTAATTTAAATATTTTTTGCCAACTTTAATAAATATAAACTTGATTTTGAGCTTTATCGTAAATTTCTCTTTATTCTCCCTCCTCTAATGATCTGAAGAAAGGCGTATTTGCTTTATTCCCTAATTATTGTTCAGTTGGGATTTTCATCAGAAAAGCGAAAATCAAGAAAAATTAAACTAAAACAGAGATATGAAGAGAAAGTTGATGATATCAATTTTTTAAACAATTGGCAACAATTAACTAAAATTGGTAAAAGTCCGTTTTTTTTCTGAAAACGGGTAGGGGTTCATTGACGCAGAACTAATTTAGCATTATTGTTTCTACTAGGTTGGCCCTTTACAGTTCTCCTGGGAGTTCCCATAGCCATTGATATAGTTCTGTACCGAGGGAAGGTCAACATGTTCCTGGGTTGGTCAGCTATATCAGCGGTCACCATACTCGGACCAATCATGATGTGTGATACATTCTACTATGGGAAACCAGTCTTTGCAGCATTCAACATTGTTATGTAAGTAATTTTACTCAAAGTTTATTTATGTATTTGTTTTATTATGTATGTATTTTTTTTTATTATGTATATTATTTTTTATTATGTATGTATTTTTTCATTACTTGATTTTAGAACTTTTTATGGACGGGGTGTCTCGGATTTAAAGTTTTTCTTTTTGATGAAAACCATTGAGGACGGACCGATTCGAATTCGATCCCGAATGACTGACCGAGGGAACCAGTTTAACTTGGATCTTTTCGTAGATTTAAGCTATTTCTTAAAAATCGATCGCCCACTTTTTCTGAGCCTGTCGAAAGGGGGTCAATAAATATAAATACTTGCGAGGGGAATTAGAAATTTTTTAATATTGAGAGAAGGTTAAGAAATCCCAGAAAAAGAATATTTCGTTATTTTTATTTAAAAATTGTAAGATTATCCTTTTTTAAACCAAATTGTGCAGGCTTATTATTAAGCTGCATTCAATAAAAGTTGTTCATTGTGTGGTGACTCGACAGAAAAATAAAAAATTCAATTAAATTATAATGAATTTTGTTCCACAAAGGGCTATTTTATTTATGAAATTCTGGAGAACATTTTATTTTAAAAAAATCATTAAAAAACAATTAAAATTAAAATTTAAGAGCTAATAGATTCCAAGAAGAATCGGGGTAAGATATTTCTTACAATTTTATTTTATCGAAAAATCTTAAATAAGATCAATTTGTTTGACTTCTAATGTATGACACTAAATGTGTATTTGTGTTAGGTACAACGTGTTTACCTCCCATGGTCCTGATCTGTATGGAACTGAACCTACATCCTTCTACCTTATTAACGGTATCCTTAACTTCAACCTAATTTTTCCAGCCGCTCTTCTCCTGGTCCTTGTTAGAGTAGGAGGACGTCTTCTCCTCGGAGAAAAAACTGTTTCTCTTCAGGGAGAACATCTTCCGATTCTTCTCTCACAGGTAAATGGAGAAAAGTAAGAATAGGAAGAAAAGCAATAATAGGAAGAAAAGCAATAATAGGAAGAAAAGCAATAATAGGAAGAAAAGCAATAATAGGAAGAAAAGCAATAATAGGATAAATAGTAAGAATAGCCAAAATAGGAAGAATTTCAATAACGGCAAGAACAAGAATTATAGGGAAGGGGGAAGAGTTTTTCAGGGAGGTACAGAAAATAGTAATATTTTAGTAATCATTTTTAATGATTTATGATACATTCCTTGATTTAAAAGGTTATAAATACTTCGTTTCTTTTAAATATTAGATCCCAGAACGTACATATGCATGTTTAGGCGGGTCTGTATCTATGGTTTCTAGTGTTCTGGCTCCAACCTCACAAGGAGGAGAGATTTCTCTTTCCAGTATATCCTCTAATAGCTCTAGCAGGAGCTATCTCTATAGACACAACACAGAGGATTATTCATTCTCTACTCTCCACATCCAAACAGTATCTGAACCACACGCTCTGGATCTCCGGGTCCTCTCTTCTTCTCTTCGGAATTATATCCTTACTACGGATTACTGCATTGTATCAGGTTAAAAAATTTGAACCATCATTGTAATTTGACTTTTCGGATGATAAATTCCATCCCAATTCTTGCAATTACCTTTGTGAAACTGAGATAGAACTAATGAAACGCAGAAAAGGAATTATTTGAAAATAAAAAGGGCCAGTACACAAATACGATAAAAATGAAATCATGAATATGCAGTTTGTTTTTTATTCCACTGCCTTGATTACGAAGTCAAGTTTTAGCAAAAAAAATTATTCTGTTCAGCACTACCAGGGATCTACTGATGTATGGATGAATGTTGCTCAGTTAGAAGTGTCCCAGCATACGACTCATGTATGTGTTGGGAAGGAGTGGCATAGATTTCCTTCATCCTTCTTCCTTCCTTCAACTTCATTCAAGATTGAGTTTCTAAAATCCGAGTTCAGGGGACAACTGCCGAAGTAAGTTAACTCTGTTAAGACAAATTTACCTATAAAGGATGAGACTTTAAGATGACTGTACGGAAATTGTTTGTTTTTTCTTAAATAAAAGGTTTTCATACTTTAGATTCCTACGTAGTACGATTACCATGCGGGATATCAAATAAAGATTAAATAAATCTGCAGATTAACAAAAGATCGAGATCAAACATTGATCTTGATATCCACAATACAAGAGTTCCCAGCTCAGGTTGTCGTTAAAGTCTAGATCATCCTTTTTGGGTTATCCTCCATAGTTCGATATCCTTCTGAATTTGTACATTCAATTATCTTTAAAAAGGTTTGCTAATTATAAAAAAGCAACAGTTAAGTAGTATACGTTTCCCTTGCGGTTTTTAGCTTTTACTTTCTTATTTTGATGCGTATTGTGTTGGGCGAACTTAGAGGTTTTTAAATGAGAGAAACTTTACTCTTGTTGATTTTTCTTTTTCAGGCTTGCTGTAATGTTATTTTATTCACGGTTAAACCTGTACCAATATGTGTACTTCTACTTAAAGAAAATGTCATAAAAAAGGGGCATGCCTGATTCACAGCTGTACCCTTTAAACTTATATCTGATAAATAATGTGGAAGAAAACGTTGCTTTCTTTAGCTAGAATAGTGTAAAACTGAAAGTCACTCATGATATATTTGGAAATTAGAGTCGAGTTTAGTTCATCTGGATCAGTGAAAAGAATGTGTATCTTTATTAAAGGTTTCGCTGATATTAAGTATAGCAAATAACAAAAGTACATAATTTTAAAGAAAAATTAATCGTCAATGATAATTTATTGAGATAAAAAACTATAATTTACAATAATGATTAAATTTTTAATACTCATGAAGTCTGAGACAATCTTCTGTTTATCTCGTTCAATTAGTTTCCATATTCTGCAAATAATAATTAATAATATTTTATCTTAAATAAGAAATTAGTATTGATCACAGAAACAAATATACCTTTGGGGTATGAGGCGTTGCCTTTCTTCCTGAGAAAGTCCACCTGTTGTGAGCATCGTATCCAAGTCCAAATATTGAAACATCCGATTTTGTTCTTACTGACATTACTTCTACATCGGGAATTTCTGTGTCACCGCCCTCAACATGTGGTCTTTCTATCTCCTTCATTAGTCCAAGAATGTAGATCATCTCTGCAACAATTGCGTTCTTGGCACCGCTTTTTAAAGCGGTTAGAGTAATAATTTCATAAATGTTGAGAACTGCGTAACAAAGTGAAATTATTCCAGCAATGATTATATAAACTCCCCAATTATCAAAGTTTGAAGCCTCGGCGAGTTCCCATTCAAGGTATGAAGAGTTTAGCACAAAGGTAACGATGAGTACTATTCCCAGCACGAGAAAAAGAACAGCTGCCAAAACAGAGAACAATGCAAATATTTTGAAGTGGTTCATTTTTGCTGCCGGAAAACAAATAGTTGAGGATTTCTAAAACAACTTGCGGATTTTCTGAACTAAAACTTGCGGATTTTCTGAATTGTGGAAACTTGATTGGAGATTCAATCCCTTTTATTAGATGTCAGATATTCATATTTGGTTTGGCTTATATTCGCTATATTTTTTGTCCGTTCCCCTCCCGTTCTTATTTTATTGTTTTCTAAGTTCAAATAATAGCATATACTCGATATCGATCTGTAATTAACTTTACTCAAAATTGGAATCTATAGTATCAGACCTTACTAGATATCTATTTAAGCTACTAATATGGACAAACGTATATATGTTAGAATTTTTATATCTTGATAAACCAGCGCTCTGCCTGGAAATTAAATTTTTGCGGTAAAAGTCAAAACCACTCATCTTTGAATTTAAAAAAGGCCGAGACCAAATCGGTTAGGAGTTCCTGAGTTATGATAGGATATACAAGCAAACAGATCACTAGTTTATACAGGGTAACCCACAAAGGATGAGACTTAAGGGAACTGAAAACTCTTAAATTATGACGATCCCTATTCTGTCTTATATATTGTATTGTAATGGTTTATTCAATGATTTAGCAAAGAGAGAAACTATATTTCTTTAGTTGGAGGGAAACATGAATATGAAGAAGAAGATACTATAAATTCACTTTAGTGGTTTCTGAAGTCTCATTCTTCGGTGATATAAATTACTTTTGAAAATTTGGTTGAAACTTTAATTAAAGATTTTTTTAGTTTCTCTAACTTTTTTGTTTTAATACTTTCGGTTTACTTTTTATGTGTTTTTCAAATTAATTTAAGAATTTTAAAATATTGGTATTAGAATAATATTAGTGTGCGAAAGATGTAATGAACTATAGAGAGGGTAAAATCATGTGTATCTTAGGATCTAGGATAAAGATCATACAGAGGGCACTGCATGTTCACATATATTTTATGCTTTTCAAGTCTAGTTTTGCGTCTGAAAACAGATTATGTTTTAGATTTCAGGGTTCCAATATTATAGGCAAACAAAAAACAATGTTTTGTTCAGACAATGTATCTGAAAATTGAGCAAAATAGCGAGAACAATCTTTTATTAAGTTAATGAGATCTTCAAAAATGATCCACTTCCCCCTTAACATTTTCACAAGATGTTTACATGAATTGTTTTATGGCAAACAATTTTTTCATAAAACAAAGCATTTTTTCGTTGGAAAACTATTTAAATTCAAAGATAAAAAATCTGCAATTTTACGTCTTTACTTCTAAGATTCCCCTCATAGTTTTAAAAAGTCTATATTTAAAAAAATATATATATATACCCCCGGTGAGTTTAGTAATTACAAATGCAATTTTGATTAATTGAAAGAATCTTATTCATTCCCGCAACACTACTGACGTAGCCTCTCTGGACTGTGAATTCTGACATAAGTTTCATAATCTGAAGAATAAGTTTGTTATTTAGAAGTGTTTGGACTGTTTTAAATGGGCGACATTGTCGCACTTGGGAATTAGCCAAATATTTGAGTATGTTGGCAATATCTTGTGAAAACCTGCAGCTATTAGCTAACTATAAAACCTTTACATCCTTGTTTAGGTATTACGAGAGTACAGAGAAGGGACTCCTCCCGACTAGGGTTTATCATGATGATTTTAACGATCAAAATATGGAAGAACCCTCGAGATATTTCACAAATCCAGGAAAATGTCATTATTTAGGTAGGTTCATATCAATCTTTTTTAACAGAAAGGGTTCTTTCTTTTTTAGATCACTATTCTACTTGTCTTTTATGTATTAATATAACTTAAACAAATTCAGGAAACACGGGAAAGGATAATTTTGATTTAAATTGCCTTATTTGGAGATTAATAAAAATTGTGTTTTTTTCCTTTAGAGTGAAAAAAAATCTTCAAAAATGTTTTAAGTCTCTCAAAAGAGAATTGCAACATGTTCAGTTATTTCCCTTTTCCCCTGAAAGTAAGTCTTAGGACACACCCATTTCTTTATTTGGATAATATTTCATTAGTAAAATTCCCAATTATTCTAAGACAACACATTATATTATAAAAGCTTACACTATGAATACAGAGTTAAGCGGTATCTGAACCAGCCTCTGATAAATTAATAATTGTGACGTGTATTTATTTAGTTGACCTGGACAACGACGAGGTAACTGACCGACAGCCGAGGTATGCTGGACATGAAAACTGGACTGAGGTTTCTAGTTTCAGTTTCTTGGATCCCGGAGCTTCACATCCGTTCTTCAGAGCTTTCTATATTCCTTTCATAGACTCATACTTCTGCAAGTATAACAAGTATCTTCTCCTCAAGAGGAACCTAGTTCACGACATGAACTAATCTTATCATTTATTAAAATATATCTGGAGTAAATTTCTCAAATAGGATTTAAAATCCTGTTGGGTGAAAACTAAGTATCGAGCTTGAAATTATGTATAAAGTGAAGGATGTGCTAAAGGGGCTGAAAGCGTAATGACCCACAACGGATATTTTTATCCTGATCGAGATGTGGAAGAAAATGTCGTTTTTTAATTGTAGAAATGCTCAAATCATTTTTGTAGAGAACCCACAATTGAAAATAATCAGTTTTCTAAATTATTAAATCATACTTATCATTGCCATCTGTGCATGGGGGGGTCAATTATAATTACGCTTACAGCCCCTTTAACTAAAATGTGGCATTTATTTGAATTAGAAAATCTAGCGGGACGTATACAGAATATTGTTAAGCCTGGATTCTCTTCAATACGGAGTTGTTAACAAACGAAACAAATTGTAAGCAGTAGATTTAGACTTCAATTTCATGTGAAACAGAGATGTGGAGATTTACTCCATATATTTGTTTTGTCACTTTCACCCTAGGTCGATCCTAGTCATGTATGTTGTTTATTGTTAAACGTTTTTTTTATCAAGGGATCAAATATCAACTTGTGTGAAAGTGGAAATTGACAACAATTGCACTACTTCTACACTTTCCAGTGACGTTTAGGAGGTCTTTTAATATTAATTGTAAGCAATATTAAAGTTATATTTGTGAATCTTTATATTAGTGTTCTGTCTTTACTGTATTAACTGATGTGACTTCAGCAAGAGCTGTTAGCTGTTAGAACTGTTAAATAGAAAGACGACAGAACAGCAATCGAAGTGTATTTTATGTTGCTTTAAAACAAATTGTTGTTCTAGTAGCTTAAATCCCCAATTGAGTAAAATGGGTCTGTGCACACTGTGTACAGTGTACACTGTACAATTGCTGTGTTTCATGCTCATTAACCCATTTAGAATTATTCCACAGTTTTCTGGTTCTCACTGTATTTACTAAAATGAAATGTTTAATATAGAAAAGACTGTTCGGTAAACTATTGTTTATCACTGGAAAATTTATTTTTTACATGTTAGGAATGTATATAATTTGTGGTAGTTTTTTCAATAAATGTTGTGATTTCTGTTTTATATAATTATTAAATTATACGAAGTCTTCTCTGTTAAAACTGTTGAAGAGGAAAGGAACAACTGTATTTTATTTTTATACAGAGATTTCCCATTTTACTAAGTACAGTTTGCAATACAAACATAAGTAAACAAATTCTTACTGGACCAGACGATACATATGCTGATTACATTTTTCCTAGTAAATAAAAAAATATTTTGTAAAAGAAAATATTTTTTAATCGTATAAGTAAGGTGGAATGTTGGATGTGCATCAGCCTTGCCACTGGGCTGCTATACAGTATTCATGAATGATATTTTTTGTAAATTTTTTATTTTATTTTTATTTTCAAAGCTAAATATGTTCATGTAAATTAACACGTTTCACTTTTATTCTATCCTATTATAAAGCTTGGTAACTAACCACCACTACCCTAGGATGATCATCTATTGTATATTATCCGATAGTTCAAAGAAGTTTTTTTGGGCAGGATTTTTCTGGCCTGGTTCATTAGATCCATAATTTACTAGATTCTTAATTCAAAATGGAACTGGGATGTATATGTATAGCACTAACCCGTCCACATGGTGACGAGAAAGAAATATTTTTGGCCAACTACGAAAGTAGAACATAGTAACTCGATTCCCATGGTAATTGGGACACCCTCTACGGTAAAGAACTATAATACGAGGCATTTGAAAGGCTAAATGGTTACCTACTCTGTACTGTGCTAAACGTAGATCGTAATTCAATGTTATTAAAACCAGGGCAACGCCGGGTAGTAATAACCAAAGAACAAACGCAGAATGAGAAGATTTATAAAAATTTATACAACGCTGGAAAAAGTAAGTATTTTCGAACGAATACTCTGAATTTCCTGACATTGCAAGGGTTGGGAGGCTCGTGTCTTCATTGCGGAGGCTCATGGCGTCCGGGGGTTCCCTCCCTTGCAGGGGAGCACAACTACAAAGTGTTTGATTTGTTCTTAATATTTTGAAATTTTGATACTTGGTGCTAATTTTCTGGCTCTTTATTCAGGGTGACTCAATAAACATTAGTATGAGGAAACGACCCTGCAAACATTAAAAGTTTAAGACAAACCGATGTCTAAAATAGAAAGTCCAGAACTATTTACCGGACATATTTGATTAAAGGTTTCATTTATAAATAGCCTTTCTAAATTCTCTGAAGAACATAGGAATTAATTTTGAACCATATGTATACATTTCCATATTCTGCAAATNTAAAGCAAGATTTTTAAGACTGGGGAATTATGTTTTGATAGAGGGGGGGGGGTAGGGGTTTAAAAATTACTTCCTGGAATACGTTTGTGAACCATTGATTGCATCTCATTACTTTCAGTCAGACCTTTATTACAATCAACGATAATCCAATTTTATTTTCTTATAAAAGAAAAAGAAATGTATTGCCTGAAAACAAATAAAACTGTCTGGGCCATTAACAAAGTTGAGTTTTATGGCATCAATTTTCTTCACAAATCCATTCAGGTGGTTGGAGCAAAATATTTAACATCCTCTATAGTTTTTATTTGTTCTGCGGTTAAATTAATTTTGAATTCCAAATATTATATTTAAAAGTTAATGGCCAATTTCTTAGACGTTCTATCATTGGTAGAACCATAGTCACACTCACGGTTACGCTTTACAAGAGCAGTATAGATAGATAGATACGACCTATAGTTGTACCTATGGTTAAATGAATAAGAAATCGGCCTTAATCTTTAGAGCTTGGCATCAATTTCTTGGAACCGGAATCATCTCAATGAGGAGAGGAAGGCCAACCAAAGTGTCTAATCCTTCCAGATAAAACTATTTTTTTAAGAATCAGGCGAATCGGGCATAAATGAAATATCAAATTTTGTAAATCGAAATAAAAAGTTTCAATTGAATTAAAGATTTCAAGTTTAGTGTCTTTAAAAATGTTCACCTATTTTACGCGCATGTTCAGATATTCCTGGTGTAGAATGCCGCAACTAATTCCAAGTTTATAGAACTTCAATCTTTTTTGTTAACTGTAGTGAAAACCTCAGAATTTTTCTGGGTGGTTCCATGGGGAAAATTATAGGCAGAGGTATGCCGAACATTTTGCTATTTATTGTATATCGCGAAGGTTAGCCAGTACGGAGGCAGAAGAGATTTAAGTTTTACCTAAATAAAGTTTGACATAATTTTCATGGGTTTGAAGATTACAACATGATATAATTATTGCAATACTTTAGTCCATCAATACTTTCCATATCGTATGCGCTAACGCGCAGGCCAGATTTTTGAAAAATATTTTTATCTTCAAGAATTTGAAACTTTTTAACACAACATAATCGAACGACGAGGATTTCAATGTGACTCGGACGAGGAAATGAGAAGAATGTGGCTCGGACGAGAAATTGTTGTGGCGGGCCTTCCTCCCCTCTCTCAGCACATCTTTTATGAATGCGAGGTTTTCGGTAAGATCGACCGCGTTACATTCTACACATTTTACACCCACCAGAGTGCAAACCATAGTTGTGTTACATATTGTACAAGATATCCCACATCATTATTAATTGCTCTATATTACGTTTTTCGGGACTTGTCAGAAAATGTAAGAAAAATTATATATGGCAAATGATAACTATTTATAACACTGTTCTTTTTGTTCGCAATGTTATAGATTTTATTGACAGAAATTTTCTTATTGAGAAGGTTCATGTCTTTTTAGATTTAATTTTTATATAAAATTTATTGATGTTATTTGTACTAAAACATAAAAAATTAACTGTTTATTTGTTTAAATAATCTTAAATAATATACCCTGAATTTAAGCACGATCGTTATGGAAGTACGCGCGTTATCAAAGTGCGTACTGCATATTTTATCCCAAAAAATAGAAATTAATAAATAAACCTAAATTTCTTCATGTTTCATTATAAATTTAAAGTTATCCCATTTTATTCTCTTTGACTATATAGGCTTATAATACTGTTAAGAAAAATAATCACAAAATTTCCCTAGTTATCGCATCTCCAAAATGTGATTATCTTTTTTGGCGTTTCCTATATAACAAGAGATATTAAAAATTTCGTATGTCAAAATCTAAACTAAATTCCCTAAAACTTCAGTAATTTTGAGAGCACGAAAAATGTAGATCACAATTTGGAGAGGCCAGGACTAGGGGTATATTGTAAAAGAATGTACCAACTAAAATTAGATTAACAAAGTAATGCCTTAAATTATTTGTAAGATTAAAGCAAGTCGATGATCTACTGTCATAATTTGTGGGACACCCTGTATATTGAATTTACTTCCGATGTTATTAAACAATATATTTTTCAAGATATTAAATAGTAGACAAAAACTATAAATACTAAATAGTAGACAAAATTATGGACACAGCATTACATTGATCAGAATAAAGCATATTTTCTTCTATAAAAACTGGTAAACATGAATTAACTAGATAATATTAATAAATAAATACCCTAAAGGGAACTTTATGGAGCCTAAGCTAAAATATAGAAATTTACCGCCCGTTAAATAACGATCAATACCCACAGGTACTTTAAATTACTACAATATTTCAAACAGTCTAAAGGGATTTTTAACTGAACTGCTATAAAATTTTTACACCAGGCGTATTTATAAAGCGTGACACGTAAAATCTAGATTATATAGGTTTTCAATCATAACTCATTTTATTGAAGAGCTAATGAGAAGAATTTTAATGTTTTTAATTTACAACAAACAAAACAACTAAGAGTTTCCAAAGTCGTACTAGTAATGTCGCATAACTTTCACCTACTCCTTCTATCTAGATTCCGTGCATGATTTGACCGTCTTGTGATTTTAAACGGTCATCCACCGAGGTATGACTTTAGTTTCAGAAACCATGAGATTGAAATATAAAAATCCCTCATTTATATTTTGCGCGGGGTAGCTCGATAAATATGAACTATATATATAGGAAAGCTCAGAGCTGAATGATTATCAATGTCTTAATATTCTTGGTCTCTGATTTGTTGCAATTTTCAATTAATTGAGCACATGCATATGATTTACTATACATAGATGTTATATTTTGTAAATATGTACAAAAATGTCGCATTTCAATATGAAGAATGGAAAAAAAGCCGTTTAGAATATTTAGACAGTTTTACAAGTACAAAGAGATGTGTGATAGCATCATTTGGACGGATGTTTGTTAAGATTATTTCAAAGAACAGAAATTTGTTCGCTGATACTAACAAACAAACTGGTTTAGAAGATTCGCAATTAATTCCTTGCTACTGAATGTTCATTAAATGGCAAATTTTTTGTTTCAAAAGTGTTTAAGCAATTTTTGGGTCGAGCACCGCGGCTTGGAAATGAAAAAAATGTATTCTGTGATTTACAGAGGATTGGAGGGATTGTACACTGGTAGGTTATTATGAACAAATATTATCTTAATACAATACTAATATATTGTCTTAATTATCCATAAAAATGAATACTTTATCATATTTATTGTACATTAGTTATTCATTGATTTGGTTAAATCTTAAAAAGGCTCTTCCAAGCATGAAAAAAAAGAAACAAAATGCGTAACAAAATCATTTTTTCAAGGGCGCTCCTTTTTCTAGCAATAATTTTATTTTTTCATGTCGATTTATCCTCATGTCTTCCTGCTTTGTTCAGTGTAGAACAGATTTTTCTGTTTTATTGGTAAATTAGAAGAATACCATAAATTGGTTAAATCTATTAATATTTTTTGGGTTGCTTTGTCTTATTCTTTGTATTAATCACCATAACGACTGAATTAATTTGGCTCATTTTTTTTGTGGTATCTCTCATGATAACAGAGAAAGTTTATGGTTGGTCTAAATCGAACAAATTTGCCAAGAAAAAAGGGCAATTTTAGACTACATAGGACAATCTTACAGCGCAAAAGAAGAAAAATGGCGAATTGAAAAGCAACATAGAAAAACTTAACTATTAAAACAAAAGAAAAGCAGCGCCCTATTACTTTAAACTCCTGACCGGTCATAAAACCTCCTAGTGGTCGTGTGGAGTACGTCCTATAATCATGAGGCCAGCACGGTTCATCCATTTCCACGATTATTGGATACAAATAAACCATTAGTAGCAGACAATTCAAATATATATATATACGTTTTGTAAACTTTGTTGTATTTTGGAAATCAATAACAAGAAATGAAAATTTTGAATCAAGTTGTAAATTAAAAAAAGTTTAATTTCATTCGAGACTGTAAGAATTTTTATGAATTCTATTTCAAAAAGGAAAGCTAATTGAGTAACACATTAAAAATTTATAAATTTATCAATATCTTATCATCAAATTAACAAGAAATATGTGTCAAAAGACATAAAAATGAATTACGCCTTTTCTTTACAAAATGGGTTTAATCCTAATATCAATATATATATTTTTATGTTAGCTATACATGGCCAAACGGCTGGACCAAAGTGCTGAAATTATTTAACGGAACCCATGGGTACCCTGTCCGTTCCCTATCTTTTGAAGGAGAAGAATCTGAGTTGGTAATTTATGAAGGAGAGAGAGAAAGCACGGAAGTTTAACTTCCTTATAGCTTGTTCCTTGCACATAGATACAAACTGGTTTGACAAGTTGCATGAACTCAACTTTATAATGTTGCAAAGCCTTGGCCTCTGGTTTCACCCTTTATATGTTTTTGTAGCCCTAAACATGTACTTTTTAGAACTATAAAGCAATTGATTTTAACTTTGTTTTTGCTTTGCTTTTTTAATGGTGAATGGCAATATTTTCATCTAGTTTTTCGTTGGAGCAACCTTTTGATCACTTTGTCCTGACATTCCCTTTTCTGGCTCCGCGAGACTCTTCACTATTTTTTTTATCAAAATGATAACTTGCCTTCTTTGATCATTCTGAAATTCTGGAGGAATTATTTTACACCCTTTGTCACACTTTTATACGTTGAATAATATAGCGTGGAAACCTTTTCAATGATTTCATGAAGAAGCCGATGAAAATATAAGTACGTGTTTGTCAAAATATGTTTAGAAAAACTACATCAACATTTCCGGACTAGGAAAGGATTTCATTAAATGGTTTTGCTAAACTTGAATCCGCTCTCTCCATCTCATCAGTGTATACAACTAGCCCGGAGTCAGTCTACAGGAATACAATAGTTTAATAAAAATATTCTTTTGAAATAATGTTTTTTAATAAACGTTTTTACCTGAACTAGTTTCTCGTGAAGCTCCTTGCTTTCTACCATTTCAAACTCAATGACCTCCACGACGGCGTATATGTTGACCTTGTACTGGATGTTCATCACCAAATCCTAAATTCTTGGGAGTAAATTCTCCGAGCTCTAGACTTTGACATTAGTTACTTAATTGCATAGTAATTACATCAATATTAAATTATTTATTTTTTTAGATATTCGTTTGATTTTGGATTGTTTATTTGAATTACCTAGAGTATACATGTACATTGTACAAGGATTAATTGATTGCATTACCTCGAGTACACATGTACAAGGATCATTATCATCCTCTACACCAATCAGATATTCTTCAGACTTCGATCCTTCCTCGATACTCTTGTACCGTATCTTGTACATACTAAACATATTAATGAATATTATATTCAAAAATACAATATAAAGTACACTATTAAGTATAAATAGAAGACGTTGAAAATAGACAAGGGATAATGCAGGAGGATGACGGTCTTTTTATTTGTTTATAAATAAAGTTATAAGATACTTAAAGGCTCTGAATGGACAAACAATTATTTGTACTGCAACCGAGGCGGCTGAAAGGGACATATGAGAACGTCACTCCTCCAGGGAAAATTTCGTGAATGAATTTTTTAATTAATTCTAATTTTTTAGGGAACAAGCTTTACCTAACGTTTGGAGTTGGAGATTTAGTCCAGGATATCTGGTTCCAGCCTGGACCTAGCTTCAGGTTGGTTGGAGGGAGAGGTTTGGATACAAATGTTCCAATTAATCCCTCTGACTCAACCTCTATATCTGAACCTGTAGGCTGGACAACAAATGACACTTTGACAGTGTATGCTTCTCCTGAGAAAGAAACAGATAAAGTTTAAAGCTGAGGGTTCGGACATTTTTATTCAGAATAACTAAATGTAATAATGATAACTCGATGAAATTTAATTTTTATTGTACTTTAAATGTTCATTGAAAAATATTCAAATATCAATAAATTAAAGGTCTAACAGTTTCGACACAATATCGGACAATGGTGAGATGCCCCTCACTATCAAACAAAAGGCATATGTAAAGGGTTTAATTATCATAATCAAGATGTCATTGGAAAGTTCTATTTTTCAGTTATTTCAATGTGTTTTTTTTATCTATGATCTCATACTTTTTTGTTACAACCACTTCTTTGAGTACAAGTCAAAAATCTAAAATTTTCAACAAGTTGAAACGTTTTCCCCAAAATAGATGAGTATAAATATTTTTGAGCTGTTGAATGTACCGATTGATTTCCACAAAAGAAATGGTTTTAGCAAAAAATGTACGAAAATTTGCCACATTTTTTTATTAAGTTATGAACAAATGATTAGAAAATGTGAAGAACAAAAATTTGAAAAATCCGGGAAATCGATTTTCGACTTGTACTGTGCTCTAAGAAGTGATTGTGACATGAAAAATATGAGGCCTAGGAAGAAAAATAATTTACACTTTAAAATAACTGAAATATATAGAGCTTTCCAATGACACCCTGATAGTGAAAATTGAACAAAATTAAATCTTACTCTAAGAGAGGATTACAAATACCGGGAAACTGATTGAAAACTAGGGGAGGATTACAAATACTGGGAAACTGATTGAAAACTAGGGTAGGATTACAAATACTGGGAAACTGATTGAAAACTAGGAGAGAGGATTACAAATTACTTGGAAAAGGATTGAAAACACTAACACGAGAAGAAAGACACTAGAAAAGGATCAAAAACACAAATGATGGAATTCTTCACGCTCCTATCAAAATAAAAGCATATACAAAAAATCAGGATGTGCCTATGTCAAACAAAAAGCTTGAAGTAAAGTGGGGGGGGGGGGGTGATTTTACCTGTTCCAATTATCTCTGGAAATTTAGAAAAATTGAACATATGTCTGTCTCCACCAATTTCATACGAATTGCTGTATCCAATTGCAGGAGCCTTAACGAATATTTTTATCTTTGAGCGGAAACACTAGTTTTTCCATTCCAGGTAATAGAGAATACTTTTAGTTAAAAGACTTTTTGTAATTAATTCATATAATTTATGTTTTAAAGATTTAAAAATTGAGCAAAATTTATAGAAATGAAAAGATTCTGAAATTGAGTTGTCTTCGTTTTATGAAGATGAATTAAACCAGTAAATTCATTAGTTTTTAGATGAACTTTGTACTTTTTAAGATATTTAAAATAGGATTGGGATCAGGATTAGTTTTCTTCATTACCCCTTGATGACTTGATGTTTTTTATACTTTATACATTTTTATTTAATTGCACAAGTGGATCCGGACCAAAGAAAATGCTGACTATAGAGTCCCTAGAGTTCTTTTAAATTACTTAATCCTTTTTTAAAGAATAACAGACTCATAACTAAGATAAAAATGTTTTGTTTCCTGAATAGAGAGTTTGAATTTGTTATTAGCTGTTGTTCCAGGAGGAGCCTCCCATTTCACTTGTAAACTACTGCTTAACCTATACAATACGTTACTTAAAAAGATTCGAGTGTATCCGATCGACCGGCGCCGCGGCATGAATCTAAAATGGAAAACTAAACCTAACTTCAGAGCTTGGAACTTTTGACAGAACAAGATTAGCAGTCTCTTATAATGAGCTTATTCCGTTCTTTAGCTTGTAGTTTATAAGAAAGAGGGGTCAATCTTTAAAAGGAATTGAGTTATTGCCATTAACTTAATATTTCTAATCCTTGTATCTTTGCAACCAGAGCTGAAAACTTTAGAATGGGATATCCTTAATCCCGATCGGTTAATTAATCTGGAGATTAATAACAAGAGGAGAACAAGTATTATTTATTACGTTACTTAGAAAGATACGAGTTGACCGATCGACCGGCGCCGCGGCATGAATCTAAAATGGAAAACTAAACCTAACTTCAGAGCTTGGAACTTATTACAGAACAAGATTAGCAGTCTCTTATAATGAGCTTATTCCGTTCTTTGGCTTGTAGTTAATAAGAAAGAGGGGTCAATCTTTAAAAGGAATTGAGTTATTGCCATTAACTTAAAATTTCTAATCCTTGTATCTTTGGAACCAGAGCTGAAAACTTTAGAATGGGATATCGTTAATCCCGATCGGTTAATTAATCTGGAGATTAATAACAAGAGGAGAACAAGTATTATTTAATCTCAAGATTAAGAAAAAGAGTGGATCAAGCCTTAATCCCGATATCCACCATTCAAAAGTTCCCAGCTCTGATGTTATAAATCTTGGATATTTCAAACTTCGTTATTTCATCTAACAGAATTCAATGTTAAAGTATCTAAGGTTTACGACATTGTTTTGCAAAAATCTAGGAATTAGAAAATTAGGATTTGTGCCAAAACTCAATTCCTCTGTGACTTAACGTCTGCTGGTAAATATTTACAAAATAAATCCGTTTAACTTACCAAAAAAAGTTATGCTTTAGTTATGATGAAAGAGTTTATTAATGTATTTATACATTAAAATTTCCCAGCTAACACTAAATATATTTATGTCTTCGAGTAATATTTATGTTTAAAATGTACAATGTACATTGTTTTTATCTGCAATTCTCATTCGTTTATAGTGGGCCAACCAATTAAAACAACCTACTCTGGTTAGGCGGGTCCAAACTACATAGTAAATTGTGATTTTTTATTTGTATTATCTCGTGCTTTGTAGTTGAATAAAAATATGAAAAAATATGATATTTAGAAATTTATCAGATCCGAACGGAGAAAGCAATATTTACGCATTAAACCTAAGCGAAACATTAAATACAACTTGCTGTTTAAGCAAAAAAGTTTTTTTATACCTGCTCTCCAACTCTAAGTTTCTAGGAGGCAGAGGGCGGGTGACAAACGAAATTTTCTCCTCTTCTGAGATACTTTTTAATTTCTCGAACACACAAACTGTTGTGACTGCTACAGTAAATTCGGTTGCAGAGGGTAGATTCTCAAACAGAAAGGAGTTGACCGGGGTGCCAGAGTTGTGCTTGACCGCTAACTCTCTTCTAGATTTATTATCCTAGAAAAGGTCAAGGTTTTATTACTTGTAAGTTTAAGGATGAATATTTCCATATGCAATATGCATCGAGTCAAAAAATAAAACTTTTGTATCAAGTCAGAATAGAACGGAATGATTTTCGCCTTCTATCTTCCAAATTATTGTAAAATGTCGCAAAGGATTTTTCAATTTCTTAGTAGTGCTACCATAGGTCGTATCTATCTATCTTGACTATCTTGGTAGAGTGTAACAATAGTGTGATTTTGGTAGCACGAACAAGAAATTGGGCTAAACTGTTCTATTTCTAAATATGTTCCATGAAGACAAGACTTTTATGTTGTGAATCTCAGGATCAAGCATTGAATTCCATCTTACGGATTAATTTAATTCCTCTTATTTATCTGATGGTGGTCATACCCTGCAGGGATAACTTTCAATTGAGGGATCTAGTACTAATCCTCATATTCAAAAGTTTTCACAGTTGATATCAAGATCAAACGTTAGAGATTAACGGTACTCCTCACAAATCTTCAGTCCTCTCAACATTTATGGTGATAATTATTTCAAATTACAAAATCTATACACCGACATTTCATAAAAATACGAAGCTCACATGCACTGTATTCTGTAATCTTGCAATGTTTTCTATAATAACAATTTTTCAATTTTGCAACTCCGAAAAGGTTAAAGATAAGCGACAGAAGACAATATGATCTCAACCCTGCAGAGCAGAACTCAGAGAAACGGGATTGTAAAAGATAACTTACTTTAGACGTGAGCAACAGGTTGTATGCCTTTAATCTTGAATGCCCGTCTGGAGCAACCCATTTTAGGAGGGCGTTATCTAAAAACAGTTGTTTTTTTAATTATACAAGCTGGAAACCCAGCTTTGCCTGGAAACTAAACTTTTGCTTTATGAGTCGATTCACTGAACTTAGAATTTTTAAATTAAGTACCGTTGGAAATAGGGCACGCAATTCTTTTATTGGGAGATCACATTAAATTACATTTTCACTTTTAGAAACTAAGCATATTTTGGGCCATACCATCTTTAGATGAGATGTCTCTAAGGTTTATTTAATTTGCAACTCAACTATTTCTTTTAAAAAAACCCTGAACATTCTTTAAAAGTCAGTTACAAAACTTGCAAACTTCATAATTCTGTACGAAAGTGAAAGAAAGAAAAAAGACGACACTCATTCCACGGTTTTGAGGTTTTCACTGTAATTATCCTACCTGTTAAAACATCTGAAACAGCAACTGATGTAACTTTCTCAGGTTTGGTGAGAACTGTTTCGTAGATCGGTTGCCGGGTTATACGATCTCCCGTCTAAGAAAATTGATGTTAGAACCAAAAATCAAATCGAATTAGATGAGATTATTTTGTTTTGATTTTTGAGCTTTTCTTTTTCTTCTAACAATTTGTTTGCAGAATTTCCTAATGACCCTGCTAAGTTTAAGGCAAACTTCGAAGTCATTTTTAAGCTTTTTTGAAAATATAAGATATTTTTAAAAATATAAGGTATTTTTGAAAATATAAGGTATTTTTGAAAATATAAGGTATTTTTGAAAATATAAGGTATTTTTGAAAATATAAGGTATTTTTGAAAATATAAGGTATTTTTGAAAGCCAGATCCCGTCAAACCAGTTTTTCCGTAAATAATTGTTTTACCTTCGTCTTAAGTCCAATCCCAAAGGTTTCTCCTGGAGAAAGTCCCGAAATTGTGAAACTTGTTAACTTGTTACTGATTTCTCTTTCCGTGTATCCCTGCGATTTAACAAAAACAAAATTATGAAATTGCTTGATGTTTACTAAACCAAATATATTTTAAATGATAAAAAAACAGAGTAGAGTAATCAATGTTCTTTAGTAAGGTTGATTACGCTTGATGCGCTCCAATGTACGGGAAATATCGTCGCAACGGACAGTTATAATCCGGATTTAAACATACGGATTTTAACTGTCCACTGCATTTGAGGAATTGGATTATTGGATACGATATTTCTCTTACATTGGAGCGCATTGAGAGTAAGCAACCTTGAGAGCAATGTACTTATTACTTACCGTTGTAGCTTTTGTAAGATCCCCGAAGGACCCGGCTACATTAAACAATCTAAATTTATTAATTGTTAAATAAAATAATTTTTGAACTGTGGTCTGTGGAGGACGGTTTATTTCAAAGTTTGTGTACATCGCAGATAGAAAATGTTTAATGTTCATCCTCTAAATCCTTTATTTGCCTTTAAAGAACAAAATACAATTGAATTTTTTTTAAAAAGTCAAATAATGAAAAATACAAATTCTTGTTTGGGCGAACTATACCTCATTCAGATTTTTTTTTATATAATTTTGTCTCTTTTTTTCTCAACAAATAATATTTAAAAATTACTAACCCATGATCAACTCCGAACCCGAAGAGAGGTGGAGCTGGGAGACCTTGGGTTCCCTTAGGTTGATTTCCGTTCACTATATTCGGATCAACTGAAACAATTCACTCTAATCATTAATTATATCGGAGACTGAAACTTGTATATGAGATAACGCCTCGTTTTATCCATTGAGTAAACTTTTAAATTGAGGGGGTTTAACGCCTTTAAACGTGGAACAAGGTGTCCATCCCTGGCTCCAATGGAATCTTGATCTCAGTAAGAATTGAGATGTATTTTGGATGATGATATCTAATGAGTTGTAAGTTTTCTGAACCTTTACAATTGAATTTCTAAGAAAATTATACATATTAATTTTTTCACCTGAAAGAATATATTTTGTAAAATCTCCTTTAGGAGGTTCCCAGGATATTTCTATTTCATGAGTTCCAGAGGTTTTCAGCATTCCAGCTCTAAAATATATTTAGATATATTCCAGCTCTAAATATAAAAGAATATATTCCAGCATATATATAAAAGTATATTTAGTCCTAACCTTGGTTTCTCCGGTCCATAAGGAAGAAGATTTGTAACAATCCTTTCTCCCTTCATCCTTGATCTTCCAATAACCGTTGCAATAGTCACTATATACTCAGTTTTACCCCCTGAATATTAGTATAGTCACTATATACTCAGTTTTACCCCCTGAATAATAATATAGTCACTATATACTCAGTTTTACCCCCTGAATAATAATATAGTCACTATATACTCAGTTTTACCCCCTGAATAATAATAAAGTCACTATATACTCAATTTTAGCCCCTGAATAATCATATGTCACTATATACTCAGTTTTACCCCCTGAATAATAATATGTCACTATATACTCAGTTTTACCCCCTGAAGTCAATATATACTCAGTTTTACCCCCTGAATATTAGTATAGTCACTATATACTCAGTTTTACCCCCTGAATATTAGTATAGTCACTATATACTCAGTTTTACCCCCTGAATAATCATATAGTCACTATATACTCAGTTTTACCCCCTGAATAATAATAAAGTCACTATATACTCAGTTTTACCTCCTGAATAATAATATAGTCGCTATTTACTCAGTTTTACCCCCTGAATAATAATATAGTATCTATATACTCAGTTTTACCCCCCTGAATAATCATATAGTCACTATATACTCAGTTTTACCCCCCTGAATAGTCATATAGTCACTATATACTCAGTTTTACCCTCTGAACAATAAAATAGTCGTAATAGTTTTACCCCCTGAATTACAATATAGTTACTATATACTTTCTAAGGGGGGCTCAGCGCCAGTTGGGAGTCTGAATACCATTTTTATAAATTTAGGTGGGCTGAGCCACTTTAGCCCCCCTCCCCTGTGTACGCCTCTGACAATTAGGCTTTATATATTTCTTGAACCCATTATTATAAAAACGATTAACCTGCCAAGTCAAAGAACCAGGCGCTGTACTTGTCATCGTCGTGGGAGTTGCTGTGCTTCCCCTTCAGCTTAGCCTTCTTGCTTACGGTGTTCTTTGTTGACTCGGCTGGGAATATTGTGACGTCATACGAGTCTACGCGGATTTCCCGGTGCCCGTGATCTAGATTAGACTCAAAATTGATGTACGGCGTACGCACACTGTCTGCAGTATTGGATTTTTTCACGAAGAATAAGACTAAAAACGAATCTTCATTTTTGTACCGTAATTTCTTATTATGATCAAGAAAATATGAAATGCAAATTAAGGCTTATTTTTAACGGCTGCATTTTATTATAATAACAATAAAATCTAGATTTTTCCGTCCCTACTTCGCAGAAACACTTTTTGTCTTAAAGATTAGATATTTCTTTCAAAATCAACAAGTTTTAAGACATATAAAAATCGAAACAAAATTGATTGAATCTGATATTTTAACCATATTCTAGGAGAACTGACCTATCAACCATTTCTCTATTCCTGCCGGAGCCCAAACTATCTTCAGTTTATCCTCTTCTACCTTGATGTGCTCAGAGTCAATCTTCAACCTAGAAATCATTCAAAAAATAGTTTTTTGCAAATCAAAGTTTCTTGACAACTTGTTTTTGGGAGTTACAACTTGTTTTGGGAATTACTCCTACTAAACGAAAGCTGGAAAACAATTCTTGGTGGTTATAAAAGTCTACGGGAACACAGAAGTATAAGTGTCGACTTAGTAAGATCAAATCAACGATCATGGCGTTGCGACACGTGAAAGTCGAAGCAATCTTAAAAATTAATGCAACTTTTCTTAGCAAGGTCTGAATATATGTGATGTGTAATTAGCAGGCATTTTAACAAATAATTGGCCAAATTAAATCAGACAGGTTGATTAAAGTTAACCATATGAATAATTAGCATTTGAAACCGTTAACAAAATGTAATATTTGAGCAAATATAGTATATTACCATTTGCAAGTTGAACAATTTATGTATTTACACTCCAGAAATAAAACAATTGTTTCCATTTCGAAGGAACCAAGATTTTTGGTAATAGTCACCATAAATCCCGTACAATCATGCTCCATGAGGTGAATTACTTATTAAATATAACCGGAATTGTTGGAATATCCGTAATTATTTTTTAACGCTAGAACCATTAAAAGTTTCAGAAATTTAATAACAACAAAATTATTCGAATGTTTTATATCTCCGTTAATTTTGAAGATGCAAAGAAAGGTTATAAGACGTGCAATCTTTTTGATATAATCCATGGGAATCGGAAATCAAGGATGACTTTCAAGTCGTCTTTAATTCCCATATTTATTGGGACACCCTGTACGCTAGATAAGATATAAAGTGTAAAGTGGATTTAGAGCAATATGATATATCTTTTAATTTGTACGTTTATGCTACCATTTTGATAGTTACAATAAACTTTGAATAAAGCTGTGGAACCTTTTTATTTGTTTTTATGCAGCTGTGATCAACAGTTGCATACTATTAATCACTAATCTGTCAGATTGTCCTGTGCACTTTTTATTTGTTTTTATGCAGCTGTGATCAACAGTTGCATACTATTAACCACTAATCTGTCAGATTGTCCTGGATAGGAGTGTTTCTCACAAATAGATAAATGTAATCTTTTGGATAGAAGCAGTATAGAATCAGTATTCTCTACGTAGAGTCAAATATGACCAATCTATAATATGTTTTCGTACAGAGGGGCAAGCGCCCGTGTGCCCTCCCCCAATCCTGTTTACTACATACACACTTTTACCCATTTTTAATATTTCATGAATTTGGATTCTATATTATACCTGGGGAGACAGATCTTTCTAAATGTATCATCTGAATGTGTGAGAACTCTTAATGTAGACTCTATTCCTGTAAATTACAAGTTTTGATGAAATTATAACATAAAAATTTAAAGATTTGAAGGATTTAAGACTTAAAATTAGAAGACACTACCTGAAAAATATTCTAGAAGATCTAGAAAATCCTAACTGAAGAATGTGATAGAAGATCTAGAAGATTTAGAAGATCCTACCTGAATAATGTGCTAGAAGATTAGAGATCCTGCCTGAAAAATGTGCTAGAAGATCTATAAAGATCCTACCTGAAGAATATGATAGAAGATTTAGAAGATCCTACCTGAAGAATGGGCTAGAAGATCTAGAAGATCTAGAATATTTAGAAGATCCTACCTGAAGAATTGGCTAGAAGATCTAGAAGATCCTACCTGAAGAATATGATAGAAGATTTAGAAGATCCTACCTGAAGAATATGATAGAAGATTTAGAAGATCCTACCTGAAGAATGGACTAGAAGATCTATAAGATCCTACCTGAAGAATGGGCTAGAAGATCGAACAAGAACAAGAAATCCTCCCCTGGGCTTTTCTCCAGGTCTTGATAGTAAATATCTCCGATCTTCTCAATGTTCCTGAGTAGCCTGGAGATACTTCTGAAGAAGAGTGCCCAGATCAAAGAACCCAGACAACAGATTATACAACATATCTGTAACATTTTAATAGCATCAGCAGCAATACTGAGTAATTCTAGAGGTATTTCTAGCTACAGGGAGTAATTCTCAAAGTATATAACTTAGATCTAGCATTATGGAGTAACTCTCAAGATATTTTCAGCCATGAAATTCTGCAGTTATATCCAGGTATAGGGAGCAACTCTGGAGCCATAGGGTGACATTCTCAGGGTTGTGTAAAGCTCAACGGACCGATATTGTTTTGCTTAAAAAAATATTTGGAAAGACAGGGTTGTGTGCTGTTGTTTTTGTTATAAAGAAACTCTTAGGATTCATGATTTTCCAGGATTTGGGAACCAAAAAGAGAAATAGTGCAGAAACTGGCTTTTATACCTTAGATCAGAGAATGTAAGAACAATCAACGGAACTAAGGAATATCATATATTTTGATAGAATCACGTTTACCTGGAATACGATCTGTATATAAACCATCATAATGAAGAAACTGACTTTTTTCCCCTCACACTGGAAGAACACTGTTCCATTCTCCAGCTTGTAGAAGGGAGTGTTTATCTCTGCAATCCCAATAGCACATGTTCCAGGTTTTAAACTTTTCTCCGCCTGAACACATTTCCTTTACTCCTGGCAGGGGGGGGGGCTTGCTCGTAAAGTTGCAAGTTATAAGAAAAATATAGAGGGTTATTATGACCCTACGCGACGGCACTTAGACTTTAAATATTTTTAATTGATGAGATATTCTTGTTTTTCCACTTGAAAATTGATACGCTTCAATTTTTTATTAAAAAGCGGCTTGCGTATATATTTATGCAGCAGAGACAAGGAAGGAAGGGTACCGTTGTGAATATGCATTTGGTTCTTTAAATAAATGGTTACTTGAAATTACGTCGACAGTCCCTTTAATAAGTTTTAAGGTTTAAAAAAGTTCAACAATGTTTTAACAAGGAATTACCTCTATTGCAAAGAAGACGTTGATCGGAATGAAAACTATGAGAAGAATTAGTTCCATGATATTCTTGAAAACATACATCTGATGGATTACACTAGATCTCTTCAACGACATGCAAACCTATATAATATTCTAACTAGTGTGGGTTAATAATACAAATAAACATGTTTTAAGGTGAAAATATAAACAAATATAAAATATAAAATATAAAATATAAAGTTTCCTACTTTACCCTGTCTCCTTACTGCCTTAATGCCTAATTTTACGATGGACGAATTCTTGGTAACAAATAATTTGGTAGCTAACATTTTGGTAGCTAATAATTTGGTAACTTGAGAACTATTGTAATTTTTAACAAATGTCATCTTCGTTTTACACTTTTTCCTGTGCACCACTGTATTTTATTTCAAAGGTCGTCGACGTTTTTACTCTTTTTCTGCGGACCACTGTACTTTTCAGTATAATAAATATTGCTGCAGCGGTCGGCCCCCTAACCTGTCCTAACCGCAACGCTCGGCCCAGAAATTGTCTTAACCGAACCTAAACCAACATATCGTCTATTTGTTAATAAGTTTGAGGCCGCAGTGCTCGGCTCCCTAGCCTGTCCTAGCCGCGGCGCTCGGCAAAGAAATTGTCTTAACCTAACTCAACCCCACGGCCCACATATCGGATATCATTGTATTATTTTTGATAAATATGGCCGCAGCACTCGGCCCCCTAGCCTGTCCTAGCCGCAGCATTCGGTCCAAAAATTGTCTTAATCCTACCTAACCCCACATTTCGGGTAACAATTTAGTAATTTGATAAAAAGGCCGCAGCGCTCGGCCCCCTGGCTTGGCCTAGCCACAGCGCTCGGCCCAGAAATCGTTTTAACCTAACCTAACCCAGCATATCGGATACCATTATATTATTTTTGATAAATATGCCTACAGCGCTCAGCCCCTAGCTTGTCCTAGGCCCAGCACTTTGCCCAGAAATTGTCTTAACCTAGCCCCACATTTTAGCTAACAATTTATTAGTTTGATAAAAAAGGCTGCAGCGCTCGGCCATCTAGCCTGTCCTAGCTGCAGCGCTCGGCCCAGAAATCGTCTTAACCTAACCTAACTAAATTGGCAGGTTACCAAATTTTTAGTTACCAAATTGTCGGTTACCAAATTTTCAAGTTTCCAAATTGTTAATTACTAAATTGTAAGATTACCAAATTATTAGTTACCAAATTGTCAAGTTGCCAAATTGTTAGTTAACAAATTGTTAGTTAACAAATTGTGACATTAACAAATTATTAGTTACCTAATCGCTAGTTACCAATTTTAGTTACCAAAATATTATTTACCAAAAATTCGCCCATCAATTTTACCCACTAGACTAAATCCGATGCCCCATCTTTATATCTAGAGTCTTTGAAATTACCTCATTTCTTCTCCGTCGTCGGGAGATGGCTTCAGTGTTCGCCTGGAAATTAGATTGAATTTTAAATTTTAAAATATGAATCCAAACCTTAACTATTTTTACCTAAAGTGGTAACCAGATAAATTTGGAATTATTATCATCTTGGAATTCTTTCTTTTAAACTTTGCAATTTTGCAAATGAGAATCTAATTTGCAGTTCTTACTGATTTTTTTTAATATATTCAGGGCAAATTTTTTAAATAAATATTGATCATATTTTCGATCAAATCTTTTTTAATCTCAAACAAACTAGAAAAAGTAAAAATCCCGGCAAAAACTTTTTCGCACTACAATGACATAAATAGAAAATTTAAAAAACCACTTAACCCAAATGAATTTATAAAAAGGTCGTCGTCGTATATATTAATACAATTCAGACGATTTTGATGTTTTGTTTCTACCAAGCTTTCAAACAACATGGATACATATAAACATGGAAACAAAGAGAATCTGCTAAGTTTACTTGTAAACTTGTTATTTGAAAAAAGCTTATTAGTGATTAAATATTAAATAGGAAAATTGTCTTTATTGTATTGATATGAACCCCTGTAGTTTCATGTTATAAATAGTTTTGTAAGTTTTTATGTCATTACTTTGTCATCAACTACATCTTCCGCAACATCAGGATCCTTCCCAAATAAAGATTCTAAACAAAAAATGTATAAAAAGATGCCGACACATCTCACCTTATTAAAAACAACCAGAGGTAAAAAATTTAATATTTTTAATATTTTAATCATTCATATATATTTTTTTGTGGTCAAGTTGACACTTATTCATGGGGGGGGGGGGGACCAACCAACTCCCTTCCTTTGGAAATGAAATTATAGCATAATTAATGATTTAACATTGTTTAATGAAACTGACCACTTCCTTTTATCTTTGAAAACTGATAATGTAAACCTTAGATGTTTCAAACTTTGATTTTATCTAATAGAATTCAATGTTTTAATGATTAACTACAAAGGATAAGACTTCAGAGAAGATTGTACAGAATTAATTATGTCCGTTTACTTATATTCATTTAAAATGATTATATTTAAGATTTTATCTATTCTTGAAATCGTCAAATTTAAAGAGTTTCAGGTCGTCTTTACAGTCTCATCCTTTGTAGGGGATCCTGTATATTACACCTGGTTGCAAAGATTCGAGGATTAGAAAATTAAACTTTGCATGGGAAGTTTTTTAGTTCCTTTGACAATTCATGAAAGGTTCTCTTGTTGGAAAAATAATGTATTTTTGGAGTACAATCTCTAATCTATATATTCGTAATATTAATGTTTACAAACTAGTAGATATCTTTTTTGTTATTTATTTTGTATTTCATTGATATGGTAAAGAACTTGTATTCAATTTGTGACGGTGAAATTTATGATTTTTAGTATTAACATATATTGTCATGTTTTTTTTACAATATTTTTATTTATTTAACATTAAAGATAGAATTTTAGTTCCAACTCTGGAACTAGTTCTGCAAATATTTGGAGTTTTCTGTGCAAAAACCTTCATAAGAAGAAAAGGGTTAAACTTAATTAAACAATTACAAGAAAAATGTTAGTTAAAGCTAGGACTGGACAACGTTAATTTCGTTAACGAAGGGAATGTTTTTAAACTTAACGAACGCCGAAAACTGCTAATTTTAAAATCGTTGTGAACGAACAAAAATAGCCTTTCTTGAAAAAAAGACAAAATTTATAAAAAAGAAAGAACAGATGTGTTTCATAACAACGGCGACTTTCGCTAAATTTTCAACTTCACTTCTGTATGCCGAGTCCATTAGCGCCTCATTCAATCAGGGTTCAGTCATGTGTTACTTGTCTATTCTGAACCAATAGAAATTGTATGGCCGTAGCATCTATCTTTCTATCTATCTCATTATCCAATTAGAGATATGAATCCTTATATCGGCGCTAACGGTAAATGGAAATATTTACTTCTACTGAAAAATAGTAAAAATTGTATGAAATTATAATAGAAAATGAAACAAATTTTACGTGTTTTGTATGTTGTCTTCAAATGTTCCAGGTATTTTTACATGAAATAATCGTTAACGGCTGGCAACGTTATCGATTTTTGAAATATATTTCTTTAACGCCTTAAATAGATAGTAAATAGATAGTGAACGGACACTTTAAGAAAGAACGAACGGAGCATTCAGTGTTTAACTAAAGAACGAACGCTATCGGAAGATTATTTTTTTAAACGATTTTTTCGTTGAGTGTTAAGGAACGACTTGAAAAAAGTCTAAACGTGCCTAGCCTGAAACTTAAAGTCAGACCCCTTCAGGTTAGAAGAAACATTTTCAATGAATGAGCCATCCAACCATAAGAAGTTCGAATTTTGAACTTACCCTAAACTAGATAAAGTGACGTAAGCGGGCCTGATTCAAAATCTTTCTCTACGTAAATATTATGATATCCTTGTGTTGTCTATATTACTTGCGGATTTCTGTAGCAAAGTCATAAAAGGAAATTGTCAGTATAGAAATCTATTCTACATAAAATAACGACGATATATTCCTCATTGTCGCTGATTAAAAGATTTAAAGGGTATCGTTATGAATCAGGCAGATGAGGATTATTTGGAATAAAGTCAAAAGTCTCTTTAAATCAAACATTAAACTAACAAAACCTTCAACGATATTTGTGTAGAACCTCTCCACCTTCCCCGCCACCCTGGGGATCTTCAAGAAGAACTTCTCCGTCATGATCACCAACAGTGCCTTAAAAATTGTATCTTTCAAGTCTAAAACTAAAAATTATTATTTGATCAAGAAGAATACTTGTTAAAGATTGCCAATGTACTAGCTGCTAAAAATGGGAAATATGGTAAAATCACGATTTGTTAAAATTGTTAAAATGAAGAGGATAAAAATCTAACTTGAATTAAAATTTGATTAAGACTTAGGATTTTTAATTAACAACAAGTAGAAAATATATCGATTTTTTTCAGTTAACCCCTGATTTAAAATTGTTTAAAAGGCTAAATGCTGAGGTAAATGTGGTATCTCTGTCACACTAAGCCTAACAGCAGGAATTGGTCAAGTTAATGGTACATAACTTGTAAGATTTTATAACCTCGTAGCTCCTCTAGTTTTGATTTTATCTTCAGATATGATAAAGCACCATTTATTCGTTTATTTATGTGAAATTATTTATTTTTTCTTTTTTTCTCTTGCTCTTTAATAGGAGGAGATATGATTGAAAACATAAAAATTGAAATTTACTTAGGTTTGGCGTGCTGTAGCTCTGTACCTCAATAAGAAGGATGAAGGGTGAGTACTGCAAGAATCTTGTAAGGCAGGCGTTTATACAGTCCTGATGAAAGTTTGCGTAGTTTGTATACGGCACTACTGACGAGGAACCGTAGGGCCACATTGCATTCTCAAGCTTAGCTTCATAGCTACCATTAGGATGATCAATTCCTAAAAAAAAAATCTTCAGCAAAAAAGAAATATACACTATGTCAATGGTCATGTCTACATATATATGTGTAATATATACTTTGCTTGTCTGTCGAGTCTGTCTGTTTGTTAATTTGTTTGTGTCCAATAAACGAAATTTTATTTTTTGAAAATGTGCCAATTCGAATAAAAAAATTCGTCAAAATTTGAATAAAAATAGCTGACTTTCAGAGCAACAGTTAAAAGCTAAAACAATTTACAGGAAATGGGGTGCGAAGCGTCCATGAAGCCCAGTATTGTATAAACCATATTAAAACCTCAAATTAACCAACTGAAGTTGCAGTTATGTATCTAACGTTTATATTAAAGCTGCTGTGTGAATTGTGTAAATCATTTTTTTTACTTTTAAACTCTTTTACGTCCTGTCTATTGAATATCTTGATTAAATTTGATGACATCGTTCTTTTGTTAAAAGGAACTATTGTTGAATTTTAAATAATATTTATTGTTCAAATATTACCTATCAGTAGACAGATAGCATCTCCTGTTCCAAGTGAAGTTAGGAACCTAAAATATAAAGAATTTAATGGGTTCAACTTCATGTAAGATTATAAAATAATAGGAACCAATTGATTTTTATAGTGAAGCAAAGCAATTTGATAAAGTTTACCAAACTTAAAGAAAGAAACATGATGTGAACTTTATCTAAAGCCGAGATAACTCAACACTCTCAAACAAACCTGATGTAGGGGACCTTTAATAATTTTTTATCATAAAAAAATTAAGTTTTAAATACAAAGGTTACAACATCAGCTTGTAAAGATAAGATAATTAGAGTTTGTGAACAATATTCAGTTCTTTGCATGTATTGCAATGCTAAACTCTAATCGAAAAAGAAATTACTCCTAGTTCTATCCTAAACCATGATTTTCTCCTTCTATACATTACTGAAGGAGATATTGCTCCTTAACCATGATTCCTCTTTCTCTACCTGACTGGAAATGGCATTGCTCTTAGTGCAATCCTAAACCATAAAAGCTCTTTCTGCACCTGACTAAAAAAGATTTTTCTCTTAGTGCAATCCTAAACCTTGATTTCTTTTTTCGTACCTTACTAAAAGAGATATTACTTCTAGTGCAATCCTAAACCTAAACCATGATTCCTCTTTCTCTACCTGATTAAAAGAGAAATCATTGCGAGCGCATATCCTAAACCATGATTCCTCTATCTGTACCTGACCAAAAGAGAATATAGTTCCTAGTGCAATCCTAAACCATGAGTCCTCTTTCTGCACCTGACTAAAAAAGATTATTTTCTTAGTGCAATCCTAAACCTTGATTTCTGTCCCATACCTAACTAAAAGAGATATTACTTTTAGTGCAATCCTAGATCATTATTTTCCGCGTTCTATACCTGACTGAAGGAGGTATTGCTCCTAGCGCTTTTCTAAACCATAATTCCTCTTTCTATACCTGACTGAAAGAGATATTGCTCCTAGTGCAATCCTAAACACTCATTTTTGTTTTTCTACACCTAACTAAAAGAGATATTCCTCCAGTGAAATCCTAATTTGTCTTTCTGTACCTGACTGAAAGAGAAATTGCTCCTGCTGCAATGAGGAACCCTGAGATGTAATCTTCCAACACATCGAAGGTATGCTTAAACACCTTAAAAAGGAAACAGTGTTTGTTTTCGGGACTAAAGTAAAATATCTATATATAATCAATATAATCTCTGTTTGGTTTTCCGATCATAACTCACGAACCCCTTGACCGTTTGGCTTTAAATTTTGATTGGGTAACTCTGGGGAACCACAGAATGTTCTAAGCTTGGTTTTGAGATTCTTAGTTGAGTGGGTCGGTTTTTAAAGGGAAAAAAGCTAAAATCGTAATTTACAACCAAGCGCTGGTAAACGTCGGGAGTACCCTGGGTTCCCAAGCTAGTGAAACTATAAAAATCTAAGTTTTCTCTTTTCTTCTCGATTAAAATGAGAACTGTGCAATGGTTGGAGATTTGTAAAGAGATAAGAAATTTAAGAATTCAAAAGAAAAATGATTAATTATTTCATTCAGTGTAGAAAAGATAAGAGTTCAATGAAGAGCTGCAATTCTTAGGATTCTAAGGTCTAAAGGTTTAATTATGTCTCCTGCATTAAATGTTTAAAACGTCAGAGGATAAAAACTGATGTGACAAAAACACAAAGAATAAAATGGGACAATGAAACGTAAAGAATAAATCAGAATCAAATTAAATTAAATTTAGTTTCTTTATTTGTTTTATTTATTGATTTTATAAACAAACTAGGAACTCGCCTTAAAATTTTATTACATCTTTAGAATCTGATGATGCAGATCTTAGTATTTATAACTTTGTCTTCATGATAAAGCAGAATTGATAGTTTGAAGCATAAAGGTTTACAATATCGGATTGCAGAGATTTTAGGTTTAGAAAATTAGAGTTTGAGGCAAGAAATCCATTTATTTTTGTCTTTTTTTTCTCTTGGTTGGAATTTTTTTTATGAACTAATACTCTTTTAATTAGTTCTACATAATTTAAAGTTTTCTGATGAGAAATTAATATATACTAGAAAATCTTGTATATTCAGTTTGAAAAGAAACATGAGAACCTGAATGATAAAAAAAATATTTTACTTATTCTTTCAATTTTGTTGCCAAGACGTGTCTTTACAACCTTAAAGGGACCGAAAGTGTAACTTCAAGTGACCCTCCTTGAAAAAATGGTAATGTCCGATTCACAACGGTACCCTTGAAACCTTTATCTGAGAAATAATGTGGAAGAAATAATCATTTTTCTAGGTTTAACAGTGTTTAATGGTGATAATTCCTATTATGTTTTTAAAAATTACAAACATTGATACCTAATTCATCTTGATCAAACTGTGCTTTTCAGCTTGCATGGAGGGCCACTTAAAATTACTTTTACAGTCACTTTCCCCTGGCTGAATACAATTCCTACCTTCTGATATGCTGGGTCCACCAGGAAGTTTTTAGCCGCCTGTTCTATGGCCCCACTCATGATAACTTTAATCTACCATCTGAAATCATTCAAATTTTCCTTCCAAATTATTCTTTAAATAAGAAAATAAACAACAGAGAAAGGAAATGAGACTTTGTCACAAACTCAAATTTTCTAATCCTTATATCTCAGACATCGTAGTTTGAAATATTACGGCATTGGGTTCCAAAGATAAAGGATTAGAAATTCTGAGTTTGTGGCAAAGACTCGAATCCTTTGCGGTTCATTGGATCAATATATTTCCTTTAAAGATATTTCAAAATGTCTAGATATTTCAATGTTTTACGATTGTTTAAAGATAATGGGAAATAATCTATGAAATTTACCTAAAACCGAGTGTTGGCTGGCACAAAAACACTATGATTAGTTGGACAGAAAATGTCGATGAATGTAATGAAGTTAACTTAGCTGATCGAGTTCCTAATATGAAAAATTTGAATTTGATTTTGTATTTCCAAATCAGTCTTGCTCGATAAACTGTATTTTACATATTAAAGTGCTGTTGATAACGCAAAATGTTAGAATGCAAAAATTTTCAAAAAGGTGTTAATTTTCCTTTCGTGCATAACGCGTACTGTAAGGAATTGAGTCTTTGCTACAAACTTAAATTTTCTAATTGCAAAATATATCTTTGTAACCTATTAGTTTAATATTTCAAACTTAGATTATCTGTTCCATCAGAATTTATATTTTGAAATATCTAAGGTCTACGACATTGGGTTTCAAAGATAAAGGGATTAGAAAATCAGAGTTTGTGACATAGACTCAATTTCTTAATATGATATTTGAAGCAAAATTATATTTGTTAGAAAGGGTATATGGGTGCGTACGGACAATAGCATGTGATCCATATATTTTATCATGTTAAATTATCGATTGAACGATTAACCTAATTAAATTAGGTTTTTAGTCTGTTTATAGCTGTGGGGGGGGGGGTGACATGTGACGTCAATTAACAAAATTCTAAGTCGGTTTCTTAAGAAATCACGAATAATACTGGATCCTAATGTACAGGAAGTAATTTATGATAAAACATGACAATTTTTAATAAATATTGATTAAACTTTACACTTTTTAAACTTTTTAATTCTGTTCGAGTATTCAATTTAAGTTTATTAACTTTACTAAAAGCATTGAACTTTTTCATTTTCATTAGTTTTCTATATTTTACTTAACTAATTTACATTTTTATAAAGTTGACTGAAACATGATGGTTAAAGGTAGAACTGACAAAAGGAAAGCTAGGTCCTGGGTTGGAGGCTTATTATACATGTAATTTTAATATATCAATACAAAATACGAATCGTTAAATCTTTCATTAAGACTTTTTCCAAGAAGGTTTTAATGCATGTACAGGTCATGCAGACGTTGGATTAAGAGTCGATGTTTACAGTCCCTTTTCTGAGAACCATGATTAATAAATCGAGTTTTTACCACAAACTCTAATTTTCTAATCCCTATATCTTTGCAACCCAACGTCGTAGACCTTAGATATTTCAAACTATGAATTCTTTTTAAATATCTAAGGTTTACACATTAAAGTTGCAAAGATATAGAGATTTGAAAATTTAAGGTTGTGGCAAGGAATTAATTTCTTTTTTTTTTGTCAGTAAAAATATTCTCCTATACTTGCAGAAAGATTAGAATAATGAACAAGTAACGAAACAATTCTTACAAATTCTTTGTAATAAACCCGTTGGAAGCCGGGCCATGATTTACATATTTTTATATAAATATATAAATCTTTTTCTTACTGTTCTGATTCATAAACAATAAAAAAGAATGAATTTACAAAAATGTTGAAAAAACATGGGTAGTTGTTTAGAAATCACTTTACTCCCTTGTTATTTAAAATGTTTAAATGTAGTTTCTAATTCGTGTTCTAGAAAATACTCGTTTAACATTAGTATGCTTTCTACCTTATAACATAGCAACCAATAAACAAGGAATACCGTACACCGTACACTGTACAGCATGCATGCACTTAAACAACAAATAAACAACATTTATACAAGATATTTCTCGTTGGCTCTAAACTATCCTAGCTAATAAAGGTAGAGGAATGTGACACCACAACTGAGGACCTCCCCCCCCCCCTCCCCAATTGGTTTACCTTTCACGTGGTGGTGGAGAGAAAACTGTATTGTACTTTCACGCTGCGTAAAGAAATTATTGATCTAGGTAAAATAACTCGTTGGATAGGATATTATACTTACTTTCCTTTATTTTAGAATAATAATAAACCTTCCACAATAATTCAAAGATATTTTCAACACACCTTATATAATCAACACCTCGTAAATTAATCAAAAAAACTTAAATAGATATTAATTGAAAACTGTATTGTTTCAATAGATATTAATTTTAAAACTTTATTGTTTCAATAGATATAATAGATATTAATTCAAAACTGTATTGCTTTAATAGACATTAATTTAAAAACTGTATTGTTTTAATAGATATTAATTTAAAAACCTATATTGTTTTAATAGACATTAATTTAAAAACTGTATTGTTTTAATAAACATTAATTTAAAAACTGTATATTCTTATAACTTTTTCATTTACAAACATTTATGAATTTTAGCTTGCATTGACTTATAGTGATTTCAATTTAAAATTTCTTTTCCCGTTCATAAATTTATCCTTGAATGGATCCTGTAAACCCGTAATATATTAAGATGTCGTCTTTGTTACTGCAAGCTTGTTCAGAAGAAAAATATATATTTTATAGCAGAAGTAGCGGTTTCTGGATAATCTAAATATAAAACTAGATTTTAACAGCCATATAGAAAAGATTTAGAGACGTCAGCAGCTCACCAAAACCATGATTTAGTCAGAGTAGCCATTAGAGGCCCTATATGAGACCATTGATGTTTTTTATTAATTTGATTAATTTTTATATTAACATAAAAATGTTATTGTTAGATAATATCAACGTATAAATGTTACAGGTAAATTTTATTGTTAATGTATATGTTAACATCATGATACGAAAGTTAGGAGTACACAACAAATACGCAGAAATAGTACATTAATAACAACGGAGACTGAAAAGTACAAGAACACCAGAGACTGCAGTACGCAGAAATAGTACAAGAATTTCAGGAGATGCAGATCGCAGGAATAGTACAGAATGTCAAGGGCTGCAGTACGCAGGAATAGGACAAGAATGTCAGGAGCTGCAATACGCAGGAATAGGACAAGAATGGCGGGGGCTGCACTACGCAGAAATAGGAAAAGAATGCCTGGGGCTGCAATACGCAGGAATAGGAAAAGAATGTCAGGGGCTGCAATACACAGGAATAGTACAAAAATGTCAGGGGCTGCAATACACAGGAATAGTACAAAAATGTCAGGGGCTGCAATACACAGGAATAGTACAAAAATGTCAGGGGCTTCAATACGCAGGAATAGTACAAGAATGTCGGGGGCTCTAGCACGCAGGAATAGTAGAAGAATGTTGGGGGCTGCAGTACGCAGGAATAGTACAAGAATGTCGGGGGCTGCAGTACGCAGGAATAGTACAAGAATTTCGGGGGCTGCAGTACGCAGGAATAGTATACAAGAATGTCAGGGGCTGCAGTACGCAGGAATAGTACAAGAATGTCAGGAGCTGCAATACGCAGGAATAGGACAAGAATGTCAGGAGCTGCAAAACGCAGGAATAGTACAAGAATGTCATGGGCTGCAATATGCAGGAATAGTACAAGAATAAGAATGTCAGAGACTACATACGTACAGCATCGTTGTGCAATGCACAATCGCCAAATAAGCATGGAAATTAATCTTTAATATTTAACTTATCCGCGAACTTTGAAAACGATCGAAAAACAACCATTTGTAAGAATGAAGTTTGTATTACTCCAGTGGACAAAGAGGACGCACATATTCACACGCATGCTACTAAGGACACAGAGTGATGACGCACATAATAGACGTATTTAGACTATTGATAAAACACCATTGGGCATTTTGAAAAGTGTGACTTACATAATCGTAGCTTTATATAAAGAAACCTGATATTCTATCTCATTAATTTCTGATAAAAATCATCCTTTTTTAGGGTGAATACTCGATCATATTACAAAATATAGAGTACTACAATTAAAAAAACATATCCGTGCAACCTCTAAGATACAATAATTAACAGATATCTATAATTTTCTTCTCTACGTTTAAATATCTATATTATACAACTATTTATTCTTTTATTAAATGTAAACAAATATTAATTTAAGTTTTGCAAAAAATTCACTTTAGTTCAATTCAATTTCAGCAGGCAAAAACTAGGTTTTTAACCAAGTTCAATGTGTTTCACTTGATTTCAACACAATATAATCAGATTTTTTGTTTAAAGTTTAAATCAAAACTGATTAAGCAAAAATATAACAAATTTCCAATACTAATGTAGCAAAAGACTTTGTTTTGGTTTTTAAAACAATAAAAATAACATTTTCATAAATTCAAAAATTAGTGAACAAAATGATTTTTAGTTAAAGTAAACTGCACAAAAATGATCATAGGGGTATTGATAAAGAAAGGTGGAGGAAATGCCTCAGTAAATCTATCAGTTGGTTTTCTCTCATTATTTAGCGAAACATTGACTTTATTTGAACATCGAAACTTAAAGAAATGTAAGATAAAAATCTATTAAAAATAAAAAATGTTCTTCTTTACAAAAAAAGATGCAATTGAGAAAAAATAAGAACAATCTTGTTTCTGTCAATTCCAGTAATTCTGTTTTCTATATTGTGCATGATGGTTACTGCAGGTTTTCGGTTTACATATTGTTTGGTGTTCAGATAAAGGAATTGAGTCTTTGTCACAAACTCCCTATATCTTTGCAACACAGTGTCTTAGACCTGCGATATTTAAAACAGTGTATTCTGTTAGATTCAATCATCTATGTTTGCAATATTAAAGGTTTATACCATCAGGGGGGAAAGATTTAACGAATAGAAAATTTGAATTTGTGTCAATTAGCACGTTTTCAATTTCTTAACACATTTTCAATTTCTTTGCACCTTTTCAAGTTCTTTACACATTTTCAATTTCGTTACAAATTTCGAGGAAGATTCCAGATTACAATCATCTTGTAAAAATACTATTTGTGAAAAATAAATTTAAACTAAATATATTAAATGCTAAAACCAGTCTTAAAAAAAAGTTTGCACTATTAGTGATCATATAGATTCAGGGGTTTACGAAATGTATTTTACAGGGTAACTATAGTTCCGATATTGGTATTAAAGCTCTGAAACTATAGTTCAGATATTGTTATCAAAGCTCTGACACTATAGTTCAGATATTAGTATCAGAGCTCTAAAACTATAGTTCAGATATTAGTATCCGAGCTCTGAAACTATAGTTCAGATATTAGTATCAGAGCTCTGAAACTATAGTTCAGATATTAGTATCCGAGCTCTGAAACTATAGTTCAGATATTAGTATCAGAGCTCTGAAACTATAGTTCAGATATTAGTATCAGAGCTCTGAAACTATAGTTCATATATTAGAATCCAAACTCTGATACTATAGTTCATATATTAGAATCCAAGCTCTGAAACTATATTTCATATATTAGAATCCAAACTCTGATACTATAGTTCAGATATTAGTATCCAAGCTCTGAAACTATAGTTCAGATATTAGTATCCAAGCTCTGAAACTATAGTTCAGATATTAGTATCCAAACTCTAATACTATAGTTCAAATATTATAAAGAAGAAAAAATATTTTTGAACTTCAATAGTTTCAACCATATTCAAGCAACCTTGAAGTCGGTTTATCAAAAGAATAACTGTTGGGTATTTTACATAGTATGTATGTAATGTATGTATGTTTACAATATATCAAAGCTATTTTAAAGCTTCTAAACCATGATTACGAGCTGTGATGATAATTCATCTGGTTGGTTTGCCAGGTTAGGGTTGAATTATTTAAAGGCTAGGTGACTACTTCACTGACTTGGCGGGATAATAACCCCTCATCCAACTCCTCACTGTACACAATCAGACCTCCTTCAGTCTTAATAATAAACAGTATATTAATCTTTCATATATTATTTCATAAAGTGTCCCGAAAAAGGTATCAGAAGTTATAAAAATAAATAATATGTACTCAACCGGGAGATTTTTAAATTCAGAATTTCAGATCAACAGTATTTTGATGTTAAAAATCAGATTAAACTCTGCAATGCTGTAGGAGAGTTGCAAATCTGCAAATACCGGATTTGCACAAAGCAGATTTGCACACTAAAGATATTGGTAGAAATTTAAGATTAGAAGTACGTGGTTAGTTTGAATATATGTATATATATAGTTGTATTTTATATATATCGCCCCCCCAGGAGGGTTTATTTGGAGTTTTGAGATGGTGATCAGGCAATTTGTAGTATTTCAATATCAGCTCTTGAGTTTCTGTATTTATATATATATATATACAGGGCTATTCAAAGTTGTTTTTCAATGGTTCTGAAGGTTTCAACTGAACAGCGTATATTTAAAACTTTACAATTTACTAGGAAGAACTAGAGAATTTAAATAACTTTTCCTTAAAAATTAGACCAAAACTGAAAATTGCGAATTTTCTTATTACAATTTTGTTAACTTTCTGTAATTCAATCTTTACAAAATTTTAGATATCGATTGAAATAATTTATATACACATTTTTGCTTTTCTGAACTTTTGAAAAGGTTCGCAGATTTTTTTGGGGCCATTGGAATACCAAAAAATTAAAATTTTCAAAAAATATTGAAAAAACACTATACATAGGAGAGTTTCACAAAAAAGGTACAATTTTGCACCAGGCGCCGCTAATCAAACTTTTTTTTTTTTTGAACTCACCCTGTATATTTATAAATAGGTCCATTATATGTATCAATCAGAAAACTGATCTTTTCCGTTCCGTAGTTTTTATTTAGATTCAATTGTAAATGGTTTATTGAGCTTATTTTTTACTTCAATTCATGGTTTGGCTGAAAACCTGTAAACCAGTAAACCTTTTTCGTTCTGCACTAATCTACTCAGTTTATTATTAAAAACTATTCAACTAGCATATTTATTACTTTTAAAGTTTTAGGTCTTCATAAAAGTACCGTTTTTGTTAATTCATCCTATAATATAATAATCTCATAAGAAGATTAATCATTTGGTGTACTGTCTCGTTTGAACCGTATATGGTCTGTATGTACAGGTACAATACTGTTCACAGTAACATATACAGGTACAATACTGTTTACAGTAATATATACAGGTACAATACTGTTTACAGTGCTATATACAGGTACAATACTGTTTACAGTGCTGTATACAGGTACAATACTGTTTACAGTGGTATATACAGGTACAATACTGTTTACAGTGATGTATACAGGTACAATACTGTTTACAGTAATATGTGCAGGTACAATACTGTTTACAGTGATATATACAGGTACAATACTGTTTACAGTAATAGATACAGGTACAATACTGTTTGCAGTGATGTATACAGGTACAATACTGTTTACAGTGATATATACAGGTAAAATACTGTTTACAGTAATATGTACAAGTACAATACTGTTTACAGTGATATATACAGGTGCAATACTGTTTACAGTGATATATACAGGTACAATACTGTTTACAGTGATTCATACGGGTACAATACTGTTTACAGTGATTTATACAGGTACAATACAGTTTACAATAATATATACAGGTACAATACTGTTTACAGTAATATATACAGGTACAATACTGTTTACAGTAATATATGCAGGTACAATACTGTTTACAGTGATATATACAGGTACAATACTGTTTACAGTGATATATACAGGTACAATACTGTTTACAGTGATATATACAGGTACAATACTGTTTACAGTGATATATACAGGTACAATACTGTTAACAGTGATATATACAGGTATAATACTGTTTAAAGTGATGTATACAGGTACAATACTGTTTACAGTGATGTATACAGGTATAATACTGTTTACAGTGATATATTCAGGTACAATACTGTTTACAGTGATGTATACAGGTATAATGAAAGATTTGACCCAAAGTTTCAGGTTTGAGACTGGTATGTATACTAATTAAAAATCTTAGAAGAGGTTTTACCTGAACTATTTTTTCATGTAATTCCTTGCTTTCAACTCCTTCAGGAGAATCTTTAATATCCACCACAGCGTAGATATTCACCTTGTATTGTACACCAAACACCAAACCCTGTACAGTGTACATAATTAGTTAGTTTCTTATTCTTATATACTGTACACCGAATACCAGACCATGTACTGTGTACATAAAAATTCATTTCTTATTCTTCTTGTACTGTACACCAAACACCAGACCCTGTACACTGTACAGTGTACATAAAAAATTCATTTCTTATTCTCCTTGTACTGTACAACAAACACAAGACCCTATACAGTGCAAAGAATTATAATTTAAAGACAGTTATTCAGAGGTGTACGCATTTTTAGTGCGGCAGTGTACTGTCTCTGGGCGGTAAAGTAAACACAAAACGGATGTTACAGCCTGACTTGAGAACCATCTTTTACGTAAAAAATCAATGAAGTATTCTGGTCATAGGAACCTATTATGTGAATTATCAAAATTATCAAAATTAAATGTTTTATCCTCCTCGGATACTAGAGTAACATTGAAGCATCTATTCTTGTTTACAAACACCCAGAACCCCAAACTTAAGACAGGGTATCGTTATAAAAACCAGTTTTAAAACCCGGGTTTCACGAATGGGGTTAGGCATTTTTGTGAATAGCAATATTTTTGTAATGTAATATTATTTTTTTTTCAGTTTCTTCATATTTTCCATTTTTTTCGAATCTCTTAAATCAAAATCTACGTAAATGTTTAGACCTCAAAAAAGGAAACTCGGGAGTTTCGTCCAACGATACTCTTTTGAATTTCGGGCTCAGAAAGAAATGGTTTCAATATGTACACAGAGAATACGCAACAGCAATTAACTTTTCTTCCCTTATTACCTTGATACAGTGTACATATTAATAAGTTTCTTATTCTCCTTGTACTGTACACAATACCCTGTACAGTGTACATATTGGTAAGTTTCTTATTCTCCTTGTACTGTTCATTAAACACTTGACCCTGTACAGTGTATATAGTTAGTTAGTATCTTATTCTCCTAGTGTACTGTACGCCAATCTTGTACATATGTACCCGTTAAATTAACCATACTATTAATACTTATCTCCTAAACATTGTACATATTCTACTGCTATTGTTTGACCACACTTCTCTCCCTTTTTTCAGTAGAAGAACACATTTCTGTTTATGATGGTGCAAAACTGATTTCAGGATTCATCTCTAATTGGATGATGAGATAGATAGATAGATATGTTACCATGCCGTTGCAATTTTTATTGTTCTAAATCGTCACCAAGCACGTGACTGAACCCTGATTGGATCAGGCGCTTCCGGAAAGATGAAGCAACGGTGAATTCTAAGCCTACTATTGTTATCAA